CTGATATCATCCTGCTGTATTGCAGGTGGAAGGACGTGATCATTTGATAGACCTATATAATGTTATGATGATGACAAGTTTATTTACAATAAATAATGGACATACCTCCAAGTTCGTCGAGATGTACATACTCCGAGTCGTCAAACGTAGGTTCACAAGCAGCAGGAGCGGCATGAAAGCCTACAAATTGTTAAATAAACACGAATCTATGGAAAAAATGAATCAAACCTTGGGACACGCCTGGTTGTTGTGATCGATGCAGGATTGGATGAGATTGAGGGTTCAACAGCTCAGTGTGTGCTCGAGAAGCTGTCAAGAGGAATTATACTCATTGTTTTTGGAACAAAGTATAGAAGACTCACCTGCTCGAGCATTCTGTCTCTCAAGATCTTCCTGCATCCGTATAGCATCCCTCCTGCAGGCCTTTTGATGGGCAGCAAGACCACGACTTTTGAATTTCTGGCTGCATGTTTCACAGATCGAGGTCCGTTCGGGTGGCATGAAGGTGTACAAAACTCAAAAGTAAGTGTGAATACAAGAATGAAGGGAATATGGACATCAATGTTATCGATGGAGATGTTACAGTGGCGCTCGAGTCGCAATTCCAATGCATTCAAACGGCGCGCACGATCGTGGGAATGATATGTCAACATCAACAAGATAATTGTCACGATTATCAGTTATTCTTATCGATTAGAAATACCACGTGATATCGTGGAGTGACATCTCAATGACAATTGCAATGTCACTCATTGCAATGCTTCTAGGAAATTTCCGACATCATCGAGAAAGCATGAAGAATGACAATGTGAGGTATGATCATATTCAAGTTGTGCCCGGCGTCGTCATATGTGCTTTACTGAACTTCTTGTGCAACCATGCTGCAGGACAAAAGACTTGCCAGACGATTTGACGCCCTTTATCACTCAAACAACTCTTTACCCCGAAGGCAGAGGTGGATTTGGCGATGTCTGGAAATGCGATTATAATCATGATGCAAATGGTATCTCTGCCCTCGTCAGTCCATGTGTTGGATTCCATTTACAATGCAACTGGCTGACCATCGGACCATTGATCGATAAGGTTGCGGTCAAGGTCTTCACACTTCCAGAGCGTTATGATCTAGAGAAGATCAACAGGGTAAGCTCCGTATGAGAACCGCATATTGGCCCATGCTAACTTGTGCTTACTTTGGTCGCACCCAGAAAATCAGCCGAGAAATTGGCATATTGAAGTTTCTACGCCATGAAAACATTGTACCCTTGTGGGGTATAGCGACAGGATTTGGACGTATGCAAGAGTTGCGCTGCTTGGTCATCTCCGTGGATGCCAAACGGCACATTGAATGAATACCTAGCATCTAACCACAACGATCTAACAGCCCCGGACCGTTCACGTATGGTGAGTAATTCTCATCACGTCCCTTCACTTTTCAAGACTCAATTAAATTTGGAAGCTGGAGGATGTCAGCGCTGGACTTCATTACCGTAAGGTTCCATCTATCTTCTCAAGTTGTAACTTACCTTTGATGCAAGTGCACTCGGTTCGTGTCATGCATGGAGATATAACGGGGGTAAATCCGGAGCTGCTGGGACATTCTTGAAAACTAATGAATATGCAGGCAAATATCCTGATCGACAAGGGGGGGCATGCGAGGCTAATTGATTTTGGTCTTTCCACCATTACCCAGCCCCTTCTCGGCCAGTCACATTTGGCCGCGACATCTATACGTCCAGGTGCAGTTCGCTATGCCGCACCAGAACTCGTTTTATTGGACGATTGTACGTGAACTGGACTCGGTGGAAAAAGCGGATATCTACTCTTTTGGTTGTGTAATGCTTCAAGTGAGTTGATGATTGGTCACAAAATGTTCCCCTGAGGACTGTTTGAACAGATTCTATCGGGTCGGCTTCCTTGGTCTGAGGTCAAATCTGAAAGGCTGGAATTTCGCATTGTTGTCATGATATCCGAAGGTCATAGACCGCAGTGTCCAGATGGTCATCCTGAAATGATGGACTCTGATTGGAACTTCATCCAAAAATGTCTGCAATCCGACCCGAACTTCGACCTTCAGCAGATAAAGTACTTGACTTTGTCATGCATAGGTTTCATTCTCCAGGTAATCCTGCATAATTCATGGTACTTGCCAACCATCCACTTATACGAGCTCCAAGACTCCTGTAGTAGACCGCCTGACGATCCTTCTGATGATGCACCGGATGATTTCCCCAGAGCTTCCCCGCACAGTGGTTCCAATGACTCAGATACGGCCTGAACAACCACCCGACAGTCCGCCACTCCACCCTGATCATGAACTGAAGGCTTTGACCACAGTCGCGGACAATTTGTCTGCCTCTACCTCGAGTACTCCTGCATTTTCCTTACCTGACTTTGCTGTTTTCCCAAGTATTGGATTTGCTGGGTCCTCCACTGCAGCAGCGCATGTGAGCTATCATTCTTCTGACCGCGCATCACTACGATTAATGGGCCCTCGCAGGGGCGCATTCTCTCGATGAAATGTTTCAGTGCTGTTGGGATGCTGGTCACGGGCTACATTGCGACGCCTTGATTCGTGGCTACGATCTCTCCTCTCACCTGCGTGAAGTTCATGGACTTCATGGCCTACGACAAGTCTCGCTTCCACTGCCTCTGGGCTAGTTGTAACAGGGAGTTCAACAAAGAATCCCTCTCGAGGCATGTGGAAGAGGTTCATTTGGGAGTTGTGCACTCTTGCGAATGCGGGAAGACGTTCGCGCGTAGAGATACCCTCTCCCGACACGAGAAGACGTGCCCCTCAGCAGTAGTTTATGATATGGGGAGACGCCGACGCTAGTTTGAAGGTTCTTACCTGACTCATTACTGAGTCTCATTTGTAAGGATATGATATCACAAGGGTTCCGTGTGTCTCGTCGGTGCGAGGAGATCCCATTCTTCACATGCACATCCGAGATATGTGGATACACCTCCCATGTCTGACGTCACGCTTTCAAGTTGACATTGCTTTTTCTATGACGTTTCACATTTTTGTACATTCACATTTTACACATTCACATATGTTACGCCTCGTTGCACGCGTCATCTTGACGTCAACGATATTCAAATATTCATGCACATGCCTGGCCCGGATCCGAGATGTGAGCGCATTGATTGTGCTCGCCCGCCTCGGCGTCGCAGTATCTAGTATCTGCTTTACCGAACGTGCATGTAGGGTAGAGGACAAGCTGGTGTCGGACCAATTTAGTATTAGTATCAGTGAACCACATTAGCGGGCTGACTATTTTGACGCGTCGACGATTTGTGCCAGTGGCACTAAAGCTTAGTGTACATTCTGGAAATGCATCCTCAGACGTGACTGACGTAGTATAATAGTCAAGATTCCAGATCTGCAGTTCAACATCATAAAGTGAGTATTATGCGTGTACATGCAACGAAGTAGATGGATTATCAAAGACGGATCGGAAGCACAGTATTCACCTAGCATAGCATACACCCACCTCGTATCTTCTCCGGCGTAACAAAACAGATACGGCCACCATATCAATTCATACTGCCGCATGGCTGTCCCCAGGGCATCTGCATCCACATCAAAAGACACATCAAACGACAAAGCCGCCCTCGCCACACTGAGTTTATCCTCCTCACCACTATCATCGTTGCTATCGTCCTTGTCCAGCTCGGGCATTGAAGTTGACGGGCTTTTAGGAGTCTGGATTTGCTTTGCTGCGGGAACGAGTTTCGGGTTGGGTTTCTTGAGCAGCGGAGGCTCGAAGGGCGGAAGCATCGCTGGCTTTTGTCCCCTCGCTTGTGATCCTTCAAAATACGTATATCAGTCTGAGTCTAACATCATCTGGATGTCCGTGTATGAGCTACCTTCTCTAAAAAGCTTTAACGGCTCAACGGTTTACTGATTGCACTTCAGATTCCATAGCGGAGGTGCAGAAGAAGAGGCAGACGAGATACTAAGCACCTTCGTCAGAGGTCTTGCAGTCGACGCGGCGGGTGCGAGCCTTGACCCAGAACGCATAGAAGGCATCCCGCTGGTGGCAATATGCTTTGGCATGGCATTCTTTTGTGTCTTCAACCTATTTGCTTTAACCTGAAGTTTTTGTCCACATTGTAAGACATCGCATAGTATATGAAGTGATTGTGCAAATATTCTGGATTGGGAGGGACATCATCCTTCACAGGTGCGCTGGCTGAATACGCACAGGACGGGGCCACCTTAGTGGACGGGTTTTATCCTCAGAGGTGACTTCCTTGATGAAGCAGAAAAAATGCATATGAAAGCTTGGGAGCGGTGCGGAAAAAGCAAGAGAGACGCGCCGTGTGGGCTGTGAATACTCGAGTCGTGACGGACGTGCATGTGCTCGATGCCATGCAGGCTCGGAATTGCATGGGCTGCAAGTAGAACGAAAACAAGTCAAAAACACCTCGAACGCCTCATGTGAGAGCACGCACGTTTCTGTTCTGGTATTTGCAATCTGCTATGAATTCTTGGGGGCAGGATTGGATGTTGCGTCTAATGCTAAGGAAAATGTATACCAACTCGGAGGACAAGAATGGCTAACACTACTATAAACACGAGGCATATAGACGCCTATATATCCAGTGTGGGTTCGCAAACTACAGCTTCAATGAGCCTTGGCTTACGACCTTTAATTGGACCTGATCTACATTCTCATTGACCTCTCATCACTTACAAAGCTGATTGAGAAAGCATGGAGAAGGACTTGGATGACGTGAGGTATGATCACATTATCATGGCGCTCGGTGTCGCCATATCTTCTTTACTGAACTTCTGGTGTGACCCTGCTGCAGGACAGAAGACTTGCCAGACGATCTGACGCCCTTTATCACTCGAACAACTCTGGACCCTGTTAACGGAGGTGCATTTGGCGATGTCTGGAAATGCAATTACAACCATGATGCAAATGGTATCTCTGCCCCCGTCAGTCCATGTATTGGATTCAATTTACCATGCAACTGGCTGATAATCGGACCATTGATTGATAAGGTTGCGGTCAAGGCATTCAAACTTCCAGAGCGTTATGGTTTAGAGACAATCAACAGGGTAAGCTCCGTACGAGAACCGCATGTTAGCCCATGCTTACTTTGGACGCACCCAGAAAATCAGCCGAGAAATTGGCATATTGAGGATTCTACGCCACAACAACATTGTACCCTTGTGGGGTATAGCGACAGGATTTGGACGGATGCCAGAGTTGCGCTGCTTAGTATCTCCGTGGATGCCAAATGGCACATTGAGTGTATACCTAGCATCTAACCACAGCATTCTGACAGTCCTGGATCGTTCACGTGTGGTGAGTAATTATTATCACATCCCTTTCACTTTTCAAGACTCATTCGAAGTTGGAAGCTGGAGGATGTCAGCGCTGGACTTCGTTACCGTGAGTTTCCATCTATTTTCTTAAGATGTTCAAGTTGTGACTCACCTTTGATGCAAGTGCACTCGGTCCCTGTCATGCACGGAGATATAACAGGGGTAAATCCAGAGCTGCTGGGGCATTCCTGAAAACTAATGAATTTGCAGGCAAATATACTGATCGGCAAGAGAGGTCATGCGAGGCTAATTGATTTTGGTCTTTCCACCATTACCAAGCCCCTTCGCGACCACTCGCACTTGGCTGTGACATCTATATGTCCGGGTGCAATGCGCTATGCTGCACCAGAACTCGTTTTGTCGGACGATACGGATAACCTGGACTCGGTGGAAAGAGCTGATATCTACTCTTTTGGTTGTGTAATGCTTCAAGTGAGCTGATGTTTGGTCACACAACGTTTACCTCAGGACTGATTGAACAGATTCTCTCGGGTCGGCCCCCTTGGTCTGAGATCAAATCCGAGATGCTGGAAGCTCGCATTAGTATCATGCTTCACGAAGGTCGTGGACCGCGACGTCCAGATGGTTATCCTGCAATAACAGACTCTGATTGGAACTTCATCCAAAAATGTTTGCAATTCGAACCCGAACTTCGACCTTCAGCAGATAAAGTACTTGACTTTGTCATGCATAGGTTTCACTCTCCAGGTAATCCTGCATAGTTCGTAGTGCTTGCCAGCCATCCACTTATACGAGTTTCAAGACTCCTGTAGTAGACCGCCCGACGATCCTTCCGATGATGCACCGGATGATTTCCCCGGAGCTTTCCCGCACGGTGGTTCCAATGACTCAGATACGGCTGAACAACCACCCGACAGTCCACCACTCCACCCTGATCATGAACTGAAGGCTTTGACCACGGCCATGGAGAAGTTGTCTGCCTCCACCCCGAGTACTCCTGCATTTTCCTTACCGGTTTTTGCTGCTTACCCAAGTATTGGATTTGCTGGGTCCTCGTATGTCCACTCGCAGCATTCACATGCATGTGTTTACATTTATAATTTTCGCCAGCCATGATCCACCTAACACACACCCCCAAGTGGCGCTCAACAATCAGCTTCGAATGAGGTATGGAGAGAGCGCATCGGATCATGTAATGTGGGAACTTTACTCCACAGGACCTCCACACGCTCTTACTTGGCACGCTACAGTATACAGTAAGTTGTCAGCATAGTGATTCTTGGTGCTTCTCATTAAAATCATATAGTCGATGACTTGAATTACGGCCATGGCAAAGCACGCACTCGGGACGAAGCCCGAGACATGGCAGCGATGCAGGCTGTGGAATGCTTGAAAGAGGAAGATCGTGCAGTTAGGTGGACGGCGCAGATAGAGCGGACAGATGTATCCGGGTCACGGTGATCTGATGAAGATCAAGAAGGTGCGGACTCCCCAAACTAATCTCATATAGAGATATGCATAAAGCTAGTTTGCGAGTTCTCAGTTGTAATATGATGTAGCATATGAAGGTGAACGTAGGTATGCGCTAACGCGTGTGAATGAAGAAGTTGTCTGCCCCCACCATAATTGCAATTTGCTCCTGCATCGTCTTTCTCTTTCAACTTCTCAAGTGGTGGACTTTCTGGGTCCTCCACTGCACCAGCGCCTGTAAGTTATCACTCCTCATTCGCATTACTACGACTAATTGGCCCTCGCAGGTGAACCGTTCTCTCGAAGGGATGTTTCAGTGCAGGTGGGGTGGGCTATATTGCAACGCCTTGATTCGTGGCCACGATTTCTCTTCTCACCTACGTGAAGCTCACGGGGTCGTGACGAAAACGAATCGTGCATCGAGTGCAAATGGGATCGTTGCGATAATGAGTTTAAACTGCACAACCTCTGGAGGCATGTGACAAAAGTTCATTTGGGAATTGTGTACGGAGTCCTGCGAATGTGGGTTCTTGCGTCAATATTCAAATATTCACTCCGCCAACACCGGAGGAAGACGCCGACGTGCGCACAGGCTCCTGGCTAGTTTGAAGGTTTTCACCTGACTCATTGCTGAGTCCCGCTTGTAAGGATAAAATATCCTCTGCACGCCGAGCACGACTTACGATCAAAGGTGCAAGCCGTTCCGTGTGTCTCTTCGGTGCGAGGAAATCTCATTATTCGTATCTGAGATATGTGCCCATATTTTTAGACTTTGATAGTGCACTTGATGAGAAGGACGTGAGCACATTGATTGTGCTCGGCGTCGCAGTATCTAGTATCTGCTTTGCCATACTGAAACGTGCTGCAGGGTAGAAGACAACTTTAGAGCCTGGACAGCTGCGTTTATTTCTCAGTTTATTTCTCAGTTTATTTCTATTGTGGCGTGGCAACGAGTGACAAGCTGTGACTCGCGTGTGACTCTATCAGCGTCCAGACTCCATACTGCCAAGTCATGGCGAAACGGAAGAGTACATCTGCGAACACTGGTACTACTAGTGCAGGCCCAGCTACCACTCACTGGACTGATGAAGAGACCTCCCGCCTCATTCAGTATCTCACACTTCATTGCGCTGAAGGTGGAGATGGTACTAACTTCAAACAGTCAACCTTTACCGCTGCAGCGGCTTATTTATTGAAGCCCCTGGACGGCATTCCAAAGGAGGACCATGTAGCTGGAATCAAAAGGGATGGGCTGTCATGCAAGAACAAATGGATCACGGTACGTTTATTATTATTTTTCAAATCGATTCAATTCTGACTACCGCAGTGCAAGAAAAAGCATACCGCTATCATCGATATCAAATCGCAATCAGGCTTTTCGTGGGACGACGAACTCGGTGCAAATATCGGCCCAGCCGACGCTGCGCGTTGGACTGCATTTGCAAATGCGCGTCCCAATACAAGGCCATTCCGCAACAAAGGTTGGAAACACTTCGACGAGATGGACAACCTTTTGTGCACGCAGATCCCACATGTCACCAATGCTTTTCACGCAGGCCAGGAAATGTTCCAATCACAATACGACGTCAGCAACGAAGGCCCGGGTGTTGATGCTGTGGAGAATGAGCCTGTAGCACCTGACTTGGGAGACTTGGGAGACTTTGGAGACTTTGGAGACTTTGGAGACTTGGGAGACTTGGGAGGCTTGGGAGGCTCGGGAGGCTTAGCGGTTGAGGGAGACATTGAGAGGATTGTGGAGAGAGACTCAACTGGGCTGGATGACGATGAAGACGATATCATTCCTTGGGAAGCGACTCCTCCTCCTCCTCCTCTCTCAAAACGAAAATTCGCTGCCATGTCTTCAACTCCATCGCTTACCCCTTCAACTAGATCTTGTTCTTCTGGTCCGCAATCGAAACGTCAGCGTGCCAGCGGATCAGCCACTGCACTCTATGCAATTAATGATCGATTTTCAGAGTTCACTGATGTCTTTCGTGTAGCTACACAATCGGAAAAATCGGCTATCGCCTTATCGCCTCAGCGCAAGCAGGCAGCAATGTGGCGTGCTCAACTACTAGAAACACATCTCGACAACGACAACATGGCTGCACTTATCGAAGCTTTTCAGGTGGACATCAGCGCCGCTGATGCATATATGGTCATGTCCGACTGAAGGGCCAAGGAGGTCTTTTGTTGACCGCAAGATCAAATCTATCAACAAGTAGATCTACTAGGTAGTATAGGTGTTATGTACTCATCCTGTCACGTCCTGACGAGCGTGACACACTCTATGATAGTCCCTCCACATAGCATCTGCAATACCATCTCTCTCCTCTGTCGCCTTTTGCCTTTCAGTACGGCCCGCCGGTCCTTCAGCAAGAACGCCCCTTGACTCGCCTGGATCAGGGTCAATGAGATCCTCGACGGCGAATTCTTCTATTTCCTTCGGATCGAAAATTCGGATGAAGTTGTGAATGGCACAAAGTGCTGGGGGAATTCGGGCTTGAGTCGACATGCTATATTCCGGTGGATGTACGAGTATCGTGAACCGCCTCTTGAGAACGCCGAATATTCGCTCGATCACGTTTCGAGCCTGAGCATGCCAAAGGTTGTATATTTCTTTTGAATTTTTTGGCCTGCCGTCGATGAGAAAATCAATAGTTCAAGTGAGATATCACTCACCGAACTGCAGCTCGACCCCACTCAGCCAAGTGGTACCGAACACTTCGGTACGGAACGAGAAGCAAGTAGCATATTCCGAACCCAGCATCCGCTGTCTTAATAACCGAGGGTCTTATATAAATACGTGTAAGAATGTAATGACACCACAATTACACTGGATAAGACTTCTTGCCAGTCCTCAATTAACACGGTCTACGACTTTTCTTCTTTCAGTGGTAGATAACAGTGTGAGTTCTTGGGAGGCTCGCTAAACCAATCAGTCAGATTAACTTAGCCGGAGCTTTATTATCTCTGATTGAAACTATGGGATTGTCTAGGATATACCGTCTAGACACTTGAACTGGTTTCCTGAATATACGGTTAACTGTTGAGAAGCTGGTCTCAAATGTGACTACGTGGACCAAAGCTCGTGTTGGTCAATATACAAATACCTGGTGAGAACAGCTGGTCTCACAAATAACAACAAATGACAAATATAAAAACAATGACAAATAACAACAATGACCAAAGCTCGTGTTGGTCAGTATACAAATACCTGGTGAGAATGCTGGTCTCACAAATAACAACGGTGACCAAAGCTCGTGTTGGTCAGTAAACACTACGTGGTGAGAACACTGGTCTCACAAAACTGGGTTTCTATCGCGAGAAACTTACGTAATCTCAAGGGAAACACTTTCCCTGCACTTGCCTGGACAGTTCTTACAAAGGAAATGGGCTTTGTAAGCAGCAATTTGTTCAGACTGAAGCTTCTTAGGTGAGAGTTCAATTTGCTCAAGTGGGAGTTCTTGAATGCAACAAGTGGGAGATCTATTTTTTTGGGGGAGAATGGGCTCTCCTTATATACATTTTGTGTGGGAATATTATGTAAGTAAAAAGGTGATGTAATGACTTCAGAATGTGAGAAGAATATTCCAAAAACTGGAGCAGAATGTTCTAGCAGGTGCAAAAGAACATTCCAGAATATTCATGGTGGGATAATGACATCATTCTGAGTCACTATGAGTCACTATGAGTCATTATGAGTCATTGGAATGTTCTAGCAAATTCCATGGAACATGACATCATTATGACATCACTATGATATCATATCTTTCAACCAAAATACCTGCAGGAGTGTAGGTGAAGTCCTATGACATCATTATGACATCATACCCTGTAGGTACAATTTTATGAAGCATCTGATTAGTCAGAGCATCCTAATAGAAAAGTAAAGTAAAGAAACACTAGAGAAAACAACTCAGAAATAATGGAACAAATAATAGTACACAATATGCGGGCTTTTTAGATAGGTTTTTGTTAGGCTTTGAACTTTTCTCTATGGGTTTCTCTAGCCAAAGTGAATAAGCCAAATGAAAGGCAATACATTAACCTTCATTTTGCTTCTCATATCAACTAGGTCATTATGTGATTCCCATCTCACATATGACTTTTCTTCAAAACATGGTGGATTCATGAATCACTGAGGGAAAACTGAAACTATTGGACCAAGGTTTGATACCAAGGTATGGGTTGACTAGTCTGAGGACTAAGCTAACAGACTTTGTCTTTTAGGGGGATACCTAGTAGTCATGTCCATGCATGATTCCCAAATCATGCAGGACACCGCAAGGAAGTACCTTCCTTGTGGAATGTATAGGTCGGTGAGATGGGCGTTATTGTATAGAGTTGAGTCCGAGGTCGATCCATCCCAACCGCTGAGCACATACTGGAACCGAAGATCAAATGAGCAGCATGCAAGACAGTTTTGGCTGACGAAACCTTTTCGGTTTCGAGACAGCTGCCTTTCTGCCGCGGACGGACAACACGCGATGTGTGTACCATCCATGGCTCCAAGTGCCCCTTGAAAGTGCGGAAAGAATTTCAGGGTTCCCAGATATTTCTGGTGGAATAGGTGCATCCTCTTGTGGTAGATAGACGAATTTGTTGTAGAAGGGAGCCGAAGACAGAGCGAGCAGGACTTTCTTGAAATATCTGATGTGGCATGTGAGGCAATGAATATATTGCAATAGTATGGACGTACTTCTGTGTGGTTGTGTGCGAGTGCTGAAAACGTTCTGCGACATGACGGCTTGAAAGCCCTGTCACACATGTATAGAGAAAGATAGCGACTTGCTCATCAAGCAGAATATATTTTGAGTGACATAGCCCAGAGGTCTGAAGCTCATGTACGAGCGCATGGAAGACGTGTTTCCTCATTCCGAGCTCAGTTTTGATCCGGTCAGGGTGTCCGTTGATGAGTTCTTGCACCCATGCATGTCCAGTGAGCACTGATGTATGGTAGGGCTGTCTTTCAAGAAAAGGAGTCATATATGCGATTATAAGGCCCATAATAAGTTGAGCGATCATTGCGGCTGCCATCCGCAACATATGGAACCGTTGGATTTCATTAGCTGGAGGCATTTCAGCCTTGGTGTGATGTCATACAGTGCGTGATATGCCGACCTTGTCACGGTTGTTTGTACATATTGTTACGAACAAAATAAACTGAGAAATAAACTGAGAAATAAACGCAGCTGTCCAGGCCCTTAGTAAATTATCAGTGAACAACATTAGCGGACTCTAGGTACTATTTTGACGCTACACTGGACGCAAGCGCCGCTACCAGCTGGCTCACATTTGGCGATATTTGGAAATGCATCCTAATACCTAGCAACTGGTATACCGGTATGTAGTAGTATACGTACTAGTAGCAGTCAAAATTCCAGATCTGCAGTTCAAAGTCATAAAGTGAGTATTATATGTGAACGTGTGTACATGCAACTAAGTAGATGGATTATCAAAGACGGATCGGAAGCATAGTATTCACCTAGCATAGCATACACCCACCTCGTATCTTCTCCGGCGTAAAAAAACGCACATGTCTACCACATTAATCATACTGCCGCATGGTCGCCTCCAGGGCATCCACATCCACATCAAAAGATACATCAAACGACGAATCCGCACCCGCCGCACCGAGTGTATCTTCCTCACCACCATCATCATTGCTATCGTCCTTGTCCAGCTCGGGCGTTGAAGTCGGCGGGCTTTCAGGAGTCTGGATGACCTGCTTTGGTGTGGGAACTGTTTTTGGGTTGGGTTTCTTGAGCAGCGGGGGCTTGAAGGGCGGAAGCGTCACCTGGCTTTTGTCCCTTCACTTGTGAAGCCGCATAGGGCGATTGTGTGGTGGCATAACGTGTTTGTGACGAAGGGAACCCCGAATTTGGGAGGTTGTGTTGCCGGCGCATCCCCAGTGGTGGGGGACCTCGTTGAGTTGTCGAGGGTGCTATAACAGGGTGCATATGTCTCGACTGGGGTATCTTCTCTGGAGCTGCTGTAGATGTGGAGGTGGATGCAGTTGTGAGAGCTTTAGGAAGAATGTATAAACTCAGAGTTTGAGGAAGAAGCCGCAGGGACGACTAGTAGAGGGGACCATAACGATACTGGGGGTCCTTCCCACCGCGCGCTTGGGGGGTAGTAGGATGTCATCCATATGCATCGAAAAAGACTTGTCTGGAGCCAAGTCATCTGCGGAATCGGTGAAAGTTCCCTCGCGATCCGTATCTCGGTCTGAGTCCAACGTCATCTGGATGTCCCCGTAGGTGACACTGTCTCTAGAAAGTTTAACTGTAGGCTTGATAGTCGCAGAACTCGATGATCTACTGATTGTACTTCCTCGCGGAGGTGCAGATGAAGAAGCAGACGAAATACTAGCCGTCTTCTTTAAAGGCCTCGCAGTCAACGCGGTAGATGTGGATCTCGACCCAGACGAAGACGTATGGGTATTCCTCCGGGTCGCGATATCCCCCGGCGTGCCACTCGCCGCCTCTTTTTTTGCCTTCGCCCTCGCAGCTTGCTTTCGCCTGGAATTCTTGTCTATCTCTGCAGTGCCATTACGTATTATATGCAGGTACCCCGCGGCCAACTCTGGATCGGGAGGGACATCATCCTTCACAGGTGGGGTCGCTGAATACGCACGCGACGGGGGTACTTTCTTTGAGATGAGTTTCATTGGATGTAGTTTTCTCGATGAATTAGACGCAAATGTAGGTGGGAGTGTGCTTGTAGACGGTGCGGTAAAACCGGGGAAGGATGCCGTGCGTTGAGGGACAGACGTGCTGGTGCTTGATGCCCATGTGGACGTGTGTGCAGACGCATCCAAACGGGCTGCAAGCAGAACAAAAACAAGTCAAAAACACCTCGAATGTCTCAGATGGGAGCACGCACGTTTCGGTTCCCGCTTTCCCTCCTTTTTGCTCTCTGCATTGTGCATGAGCTCCCGGATGACAGGGTCGGGTTGGGATTGCTTCCATGTAACGTAGCCGACATCCTCGTCGATGCTCATGTCAGCGGATACAGGCCGAGTAATGGCGCGCGCCCATTGGGATGAAGAAGAGAATTGGGAAGGGGATGGCCCTAAGTCCCAGTCCATTGCAGAGTGTTAGTTTGGTGTAAACGAATGTGGTGAGAGAAAAGACCGTCAGAAACTCGTTTTATACGTTGGATCAGGATGCTAGTTGAAAAGGATGCGATGACGAATGAATTGTTACTGAGATAAAAGAGATAAACAATGAAAATTCAGTGGCCCACTGCGCAGTCGACGTTGCACAATTACTTCAGAGCGATGTTGTGTCTTTTTTCAGTTCCTGAGTGTTTCCACCAGACCTAGAGCAGATCTCAAGCTGCTGAAAGCTCAGAGTAAGTACTAGCTAATCGCTGTCTGTTACCGTTCGGACTCACCGTACGGTCTGCTGCTAGTATTCAGGCTGCAGAAAAGCGCCCACAAGCGCCTGCTCCAAATCAGGAAGGAGATCCCCAAAGCGCCACTGATCCAAGAAAGTTGATGTCGACCCTTGTCATTTGTTCCTTTGTCTCATTCATTCATTTCGCCTTTGATTGCCTTCACAAACAAGCACGATGCACTGTAGCTCCAGATGCGGTGGCCAATCTGCACGTGTCGCATTAGCTTTCAGAATGTAGCTGCTTCACAAAGGCTATTAATGACTATACTTAGTCACCTGGCACTGGCGGCTAAAAATCCTAAGATTATCTCCCGTGTGCTGCCCTGCCCATTTAAGTCAGTTCCCCTGAGAGAATAAAACTGACAAGTTACAGTTAAGATTCACAGCTTTCTGAAGTGCCTGAGCCGCGGGTGAGGATATTGAAGTGTTGGGATACTCCCGTTATCCTGTCATGTCAATATGAATGCGGATATCATAGTGTCAGGCGACCTCAGGGGACTCGGTGGTTTCGCACCGACGCTGTGTCCAGGTTGATACCGGCCGACTTAGCGAGTCCCACACGTCATTGCCATTGATGAGAGAAATACACCCGTTCGGTGATACAAATTACAACTACAACCTCCAGAAACTACAACAATACTATTTACAGGACCAGAATATTGGCCGTACAACAGTTGCAGTGCATTGTTCGTGAGTCATGACGATCAAAAGGAATAAGCCTGTGCTTCGTGGAAGTACCGCCAATAGGCGGGGAGAAGGTTTGCGACAGAAAACCATAGCTACAACTTCACATCAGGAAAGACACGCGCCAGTCAGAGAACCCCGCTTACACTATACATTTTGCAAGACATTCGCGCTGCCTGCGATGTCTTGCAGGTCATGAACCTGAACCCCACCATCGCTGCATATCCTGTGAATGCAAGCGTGCAGAGTGTGTTCATTCCCCAAACACGGGACAGAAAGATGGACCACAGAGGAAGGGCCACCAACATAGATGTCCGCGCTAGATTGGGGAATGCTATGGGAAACGTCTGTCTGCCAATAAGGCGGTCCCCCTCCACGTCTTTGAAATCCTGAGCGTGCAATGTACTCGTGAACACTGCAAGGCTCAGGAAAATCGCCGAAATTGCGGTGGGTTCTAACCGCGACATATCTTTGCCTGTTCAAGCACTAGATCAGCAAAAAGTTCAGAGATAGGATGCTCGGAAACAAACCTGCGATAAGAGTGGAACCTATTTCGAAGCAAGCGTAACCCACTGCTGTTATAAAGTTCTTCGAGACCCAGTGCTCGTGAGCTTTGAGCTCATTATAGAATATTATGAACAGCGTCAACACGAAGCTCAAGCCAAAGACCTGGGAACTGTAGCATGCAGATATGACAAGACAGATGGGAATGAGAGCCCATCGTAGTACAACGGCGTCTTCCAGGCTGATTAGCCCTGCAGGTATAGGTCGGGAAGACTTGTTCTTCCCATCCTCCTGAGGGTCGATTATCTGATTGGCGACATTAAAATGAAGTAGATGGAGCCATATCCAGAAAACAATATGAGAGCAACGTTGGAGATTGCAGAGTGGCCCAGCCACCACTGCGAATAGTGTCTGGTATGGTCAGTACACCATAACAGAACGACAAAAGAGTACATACAATCGGAATAATGGTGGTCGTGATGTCGTCGCTCGTGAAAGAATACAGAATTTGGAGGTAGAGCATGACGAATCGTGAGGGGATGGACAAGGCCCTGGCCTTTCAGTGACGCACCGCTGGTCTCTATAAAAACTGTTCAGTGGGTGAACGGCCCGGTATAAATATCATACCGCCTTGTATTAAGTTGTCATCATCATCTTGTAATCTGAATGATGAAAACTTGATTGATCGACAGCAGTTTCAACCCCGATTCCACACATCTACCAATCGGTCGATTATTTGGTAAAACCACAGATTCCGTGGGCACGAGGCACGAGAGCGGTTGTAGGTGTAGGCGGTTGTTGTGAGATGAAGGTCCTTGTGGGAGTGACATATCCACATACTCACCCACTTCAAGTTCAGCGCCTACATAGCCATGTCTCAAAAACAGAAATCATCAGACATTTTCCTACGTTTCTTGACAGCATCAAAGTGAAGCACAGATCAGAGTGAACAGCTTCATCTTTCGCGGGAGTGTTGACGGGCCTTAAAGTTGAACCGATCAAAGCTTCTTCATCAATTTCCGAGAAATCTGATAGAATGCGATGAGTAGCGAAATGACATGAGATAGGCACCTACGATATGTGATCCGACGACCATAGGTCAGCGCTAGTTTGGAACTGCACTCGCCTAACCGGCGTGTAATTATAAATAACCCCCCGTTGCTCAAGTCGGTCAGAAGCTACTTATTGCCAAACAAGTCTGCACCCCATAAACGAATGTCATCTCCGCGTCTATCCTTCTTTGGTTCGAAGGTTTTGCAATTTTCTAGCCGGCTTGGTGCGATGATAGGCCTTTAAGCAGTCCTAATCGTTTCCCCAACGAAGCGTTTTGAGAGTTGCGCTGCCGCAAGCTGTGGGAGCGATCACATCAAAGTTTGTCATCGGTTTGTGGGGCGCAGGAAAGATTCATTGTCACTGACATGAAAGTATTTTATCTACTGATACGCGTAAAGCAGGCTGTGCGAAGGATACTCAAAACCTGTACTTGGGACAATAGTCGTCCAGTTGTTATCATTGGTGACGGAACAACGGGAGTGAACGGAGCATAAGCGGACTGGTGTATAGAATATGAGGGAATATCCTCACATATCTGGCGTATGTATAATATCCCCACGACCCCACGCGAGCCTTGGCAAACGTTACTCTGAGTTGACAGGGGTTATGATGGCCAGCGTGTATGACCCTCATCTTCCTCGTGTATGTAACCTTTGCCTCGTGTCGAGGATCGATCAGGGCGAATCAGGGTCGATGTCCAGTGCCTATCAGTATCATAAAAAGCAGGAGCGGAAGGAACAACTTATCTGGATCTTGGTTTGTCCTCCTTCTCCATATATTGGTAGACAAGATGAGATCAATGATTGTATATGTGCGATGTCGCATCGATAAGATGCAGAGGTGGCGTACAATCAAGGCGATAAGACATACCTCAAGAGTATCATGAAAAGTCAAGATCGTACGATCTCTTAATTCCGACAGGCCTATTCGGAGAGCCGAGAAGGGGATTGAACGTTCCACGTCGTATGCAGCTACGGCAGAGTGGGGATGCCAACCACCGGTGCGGCGTTAGCCATCGTGTGCAGCTTCCTCGCAGTTGTAAAATTGATCAGGCAGCCGGGTATTTCAGTCTAGCCACAATAATAACGCAAGTTTTGAACAACCGTTATCCTTCCATTCGTCAGTTTGCTTAGGAACGCAACTCATCACCTAATCCGAGTTTGGTCATGAGCTTCTCATTCTCCGACTGGGGCCAAATTTCGAGGTGGTTGATACATACTTATGCCATCATTGCCATACACACCATGCTTCGACCTCGAGGCCTCTATTTTTGTCTGTTTTCAACGTTAGCAGCGCTGTTCATGTGGACATATGTGTGTCATCGGAATAAACTTGAGTTGCAGAAGCACTTACCGGAGGTTCGTCGATACCGTGGGTTTGCGACTCGGTAGTATGTAGGCGAAAGCCAGCCTGCTTATAACGTTAGACTTGTGTGAGCCTGTACTACTTAACCGGTACTAGCTTTTCGCCCATCACGATGTTGTGTCAGTAAGTGTCTCAGCAAGTTCGTGTCAGCAGGTGAGCGCGTAACAGACCGTTTCAAACGAAACCCTACGAGCACTTCCGCCGATACCACAGGTTTGGTCGTGCCACAGGCTCGATCGGAAGCAAGTTTGGGCTTTCCCGGTTCTCACCCTGGACCAAACCTGAACTTGTCTCCGCAAGTTCTTCTCAACGAACCAGGATGAATCATTTTCAACCCAAGGTCGCTGCACACTGCTGGTTGGGCATGCTCATATGCATATGTACGTCCCTTATAGAATGTCTGTAACGTCTGCAACACTCCAGTTTTCAGCGACGTTCGTCATCAGAATCAGATACTTTTATTTGACGTTGAAATGCACACCGAACGTTCAATGGGACGTTCCACCATAAATTTATCTGTGAGTTGTAGTATCAATGTATGACAACAGAGCGCAGACACATACATGGCTGTAATATGACAAAAGTCCAAAACACCCAAAAACGACAGACAGACAGTAAGTTGAAGCACACGAAATAATAGTCCAACCTGAACGCTTGCGATAGTTGTAGCTATTAATGAATGAACAACAAAAAAGGACAATAACATAAAAGTGAGATATTCCACACAACAAGCACTGTCCGAACGTTTCTATTATCCTGTCCATGATCATGTCCGCTGTCCATTAATATCTTGCACCCCTCCATCCTGACTATAAGGATCGTAATCTGCCCCCTCTCTCCCATACGTGTCCCGATACGGCGAATGTAGACTGGTGCTACTCGCGTTCCACGCGGTGCTTGAATTATCCTGTTGCAACGGGACAAACGCACTCGAGTCAGAATGGCGTGCTCGATCATTGGTGGCTCCTCCGCGGGACGCGCCGCCACCATACCCATTACCCGTGGTTTTCATGGCGTACGCAGCCGCAGGATGCTGGCGGCTGGCGGCGCGCCGACGGCGAGCCACACAAATACCAAATAGCGCACCGAGTATACCAATAACAGCAACGGCTCCGATCACAGCACCGACAATGGCGCCGGTGTGAGTGCTTCCCGATGCACTGTTTGACGAACTGCTACTACCTGAGCCTGAGCCTGAGGCAGAGGGATTCTGAGCGGAAGCAGGGAGAACAGTAGCGGCTTGTGTGGGTTGTGTCCCGACTTGACCGTTGCCAACAATAACCATCGTCCCGTTGCTCGGAATGCCGTTGATCACGACGAACATAAGAGCAGGTCCGGGAGTTAAGAGATTAGGGTTCGGGGGAACTTGAGCCACGTGAAGGGTGATTGAATTGTTGCTGTTGACAGTGTAAGTGTTGTTGAGCTGCAGGTACCTTTGACCCATGTTCATGGCGTGCGTAGTGAAACCGCCACGCAACAGAACAACAGTTGTATTTTCAGCAGCGCTGTTGCCCGAGCCACTGTACGCGGTGGAAGGGACGGTGAGGTCGAAGGAGCTACCACCGTAAGAGAGGGTTTGCGGTGCACCAGAGAAAGTTGGGCGTGTGCTGGCGCTAAAGTAGGGCGGATAGAAGATCTCCGCAGTGTAGGTTGTGGGGAAAATGGTGGTGAGGTTGACATCAATATTAGGGTTGGATCCGGCGATCATGACGGAAGCGTCAGGCATGAGTAAGGCACTGGAGTGGTATAGACGTGCAATGTTCGTGTTGCTCAGGCCGGCGTTCGACCAGCGACTGCCTGCGGGCATATTCGGGTTGTAGATGGCAGGAGTTCCAACAGGGCCAGAGGCCAACGACTCGCCGTAGGGCATGTCGCCGTAGAGAGCGGTCTGGCCAGTAGCCTGAGCATAGCCTGCAGTACCGTTCATGCCACCATTGACAACCAAGAGGGTACCGTCTGGAAGGATGATGAACTGACCCATGGTACGACCCACGAGCATCTCATCGTCTGAGACATAGACAGGAGAAGAACCATCTGTGGGTTCTGGGGTGAGACGCTGACAGTCCGTGGAAGCAGGGTAGGTCCAGGTGTTGTAGTTGGGGAATGAATAATTACCCCAATACGCGTCAGGCATGTCACTGCCGCCACAAAAGATGACGGTGGGAGTGTAGTTGTTGGCGGGAGTGAGGGGTAGCATGGCAACGGCGCCAGAAGCAGGGTAAACGCGAGCAACACCGCCTGGCATGTTGGGAAGAGGTGTCTCGACATTGGTATCAGGATTCCAGAGAACTGATTGGAAGCGTAAGAAAAATCGACAAGAGCATAAAAATAAGACATACTAGTAGAGATATTGGCCTGGATGAGCATGTTACCGGAAGGCATGAGGTAGGTATGCGCATAGGAGTTGAGACCCGAAGTGGTGATCATGAAGTTCATGACAGTTGCGGCTCCCTTCGAAGGGAAGAACTCATACGTCGGTTCAGCAGCACCGCCTTCATATTCTGGGTCCGTATTAGGCGTGTTCCGGTTGATGTACCCACCACTGACAAAACCGCCGATCAAGGCAATAGAACCATCACCAAGAGCCTCAGCGGCAGAGTACCACCGCATCTTCTGCATAGACAGAACGGTAGCATTGTCGTACCATTGACATTGAGCACTCGACATGTCCTGAGCACTCGTGCAAGGATTGAGGATACGGATAGACTTTCTTCCGTCGTAATCTTCATAGGTTGTATCATACGAGCCTGAACCGACATCACCAGTGGAACCAAGGGGACCGATGGCACTGTTGCCACCAAACGTTGCGTACGAGCCATTTGGTAGGTGCATACCAGAAGCGCAGAAGGTATTGGTCAAAATCTCCATCGTCTGGGCTGTGTGAGCATTGACATCCCTGGATGCAAATTTAAGCGAGCTTATTGGTATAAAACGAAAGTGAGAGCGCGTACCATGCAGCACCCCAAGCAGGGTGACCATCTATTTGAGCAGCATTGCCCTCCGTTTTGTCAAGAATGTAGACCATCTCCTCGTTGCCAAGGAACATCTTCGGAGCGAGGACTCAGCACAGGAGAGAAAAAGGAAAACAATTTCATACCATCATGGCGCTGACTTGTGTATTGCCGACCTGAACGATGGAACCTGCCTGTTGGGCGGCTGCCAGCTTGGAAGATGCTGCTAGCCCGAAGGCCAGCCAAGCAACGGGTGCGAACATCATTGAGTGATCGTACTATAGGTATAACGAAAGATTTAAAAGACAGGATATGGAATGTCGATACGACCGGACCAAGCTTCGGAAGACTGAAAGCGAAAAAGAGTGTGAGGTGTGGCCTAGATGTGAGGGACCCTTAGAAGGTAGGTTACGTTGTTTCTATTTCGTTTTTTTTTTCATGGTCACCTGCTCCGGTCCCCGGACACCCGACACCTTCGGCCATGGCCTCAATTTCCGCATGTTCTAGATCATTTTCAGTCCATTTATGAATCCTTACGCCCTATGGCATACATAGTCCTTAGGCATTCATAGTACTAGTAGACGTTCTATGTCAAATTTAGGCCACTTAAAGGCCGCAAAGTGGCCCCCGTTATTTAGAAGTTTGACCAAATTTTGCATCATACCGTGACAGTGTTGGACCCCGTTTGCGTGCCTTTTAGTTAAAATTGCATGATGCTGCTATGTTCCTATGTAGGTGTGCCTGCTTGTTTCCGATCCAGTTTGACTCCAAGACAGGTCTACAATGGTATGTGTAAGCAATGATCTGAGGTTGTGTAGGTAGGCTGAATTTTAATGTCCTATATTTGACAGAACCCGGACGCCGCTTGGCTTGCATGGCACGTAACAGCGCATAACGGTGGAGCAGACAACGTGTACCGCTCGACTGTGCAAGTGATAGTAAGGGCGGGAGATAGTGAGACGTTGAGAGTGTTCGGTAAACTTTCAATTCCATGACTTTGATCCTGAATAATACATGTCACAGACTTCAGATGGACTTTTGACGTTGAAAACTGATCAAGCCGAACGGATTCAGTGACTGGTAACCTCTGGCAAATATTTACGAGAAATACGTGCAGGTTTTATATCCGAGGAGAGAACTAGGCAATGTACAATTCGAAGGGCGTACGTAGTCAAGAGATGAACAAAGTGTGAGAGCGTGAAACGTTGGAAACGGAGACGGAAACGGAGCGTACGGAGTCGGAATCATTGGAGTGTTTAATGCAACGTCATGCCACTGGCATTAAGCCAGAGGTGTAAAACCTTCATTACAGGTCCAGTTGAGGAGTCCTAGTCAGGCACACCCCGGCCGCTTGACTTGCCTAGAGCTACACAAGAAACAGTTTAAGTGTACCCTAAACATAGCTCGCGCTTCCAGTGACTCCAAGCCTCACGGAAACCACACGTGCACCGAGTGCATTATATTTATCTTAGACTGCGCGCCACATTTTCTTAGTGGCCACCATCTCAGAGACTCAGTGCCGAAACACATACACACGTATATATAACTCTTCGCGATGACTACGCTGTCCTGAATCCTGATCTTCTTAGGGTGCTAATCAGACTGAGGTGAGGGAAGCGTCTTTTGTACCACTGCCCTTGTGAAGTGGTTCCACCGCTTCGGATCCGAATTTGAAGGAATATGAATCGAGAGTGGGTCGGAGATCAACCAGCCCTGAATAACTTGTCACCGGGCCTCATAAGCTGTGCAGAAACGGACGGCTCCGTCGTACAAAGATGAGTCTCCTTTGCAATTGCAGCCAGTGCCAGACGAATCAAACGTCTCACATCATTTTGCCACGTAGCGATGATAATCACAGTCTTCACGAGTGTCAAATTCATTGCCAGCAATGTTCAACAAGAGCGCGGAAAGATGAATTCATGGATCATGATGCTACAGGATGCTACAGGATGAATGACGTCAAGAAGTGATCTTGTCACACGGTGTCCACAAGATGTTACCCGCACCTACACAAGCCGCCATCCAAAATAACAAGGTCTCGGATATCGCCGGACTAAGAAGCATATCCTGCTGAACCTGTGCGTCATACGGATGAACCGGAGCCCGGAACAAGTCAGAGATGTACGCAGTCTGCATATCTAAAAAAATATCATCAAACGGTCAACTGATGAAATGGCACCGAAAGACAGAGAGACGGACTAGAACTGAAATTTCCAAATGCCCAGAATTCATACGTCGTGACGGCAAAGTATTGGCATTTCTGCTTGGAGCACGTGTCCCATAACTTCGTATCGTGTGAGACGGTGCTGCGCATAGGGGTGTTGTCAAAGACTTACCAAAGACCACATAACAGCTGACGCGCTAGCAGGTTTGGCGGTGGGAATACCATCAAGGCTTCCAGGGGTTACCTAAAACATGTAACAGGGGTAAGAGTAATGTTTCAAATAGGGACAATGCTCGCACCGCTCCTGTGTCGACGAAACTGACGAAGTCCGTATTATTAAGGGCCCAGGGAGGAATGACGAGGATGATCATGCTCGTGTGGTCGGGATGGGGGCTGGGCTGTAATGAACGAAGCACTGGTTAGAGCAAATCAGGCTCGAAAAATAAGGATGCGTACAAGGAAGACTACGTCAAAAATATTATTCTTCACGGGGCACATTTTGGACGAGCGTCTGAACTGGAGGAATTTTCGAAACGTATCCCCATCTTCTCCTTCAGGTATATCATGCAAGATGTGCAAAGAAGTTGCGATCGTCCGCAACGCAAATGTTGTGAGGAGTTTCGTGATGTCGGTGACAGAATTGACATCTTGCGTATACCTTTTCAAATCCTTGTCACACTTTACAAAATCGATAGAAGGTAATGTAAGGTCACCCGAATACTTCGTTTCTTCGAGTTGCTGATCCTTCTGCTGCTGAAGGTCTGCCAATAATGTTAGGTGAAACTTAGCAAACACATCAAAATTCACATTCGCATGCAGCGTCGTGGATACGGTACGGCATAACCCGCGAAATGGTGTGTAGCTTCCGCGTCCCAGGCGTAACTTGTAGCTCCTGATAATGGGGCTAGACAAAATTCTGCTTGGCTTGAGGCCCGACTTTGAACGCCGGAAACCACGAGTCTTGAAGATATCGCTTGAGAGACATCTTCCAGCCTTCGTCCATCCTGGATTCGTCGTTTGGCTCGGATGGTTCATCAACAGGCGCCAAATTACGGGCATACTTGACAATAATGCCGTCTGCACGGTCATTGTCCACGAGAGGACGGGGACGGGAGCCATTGGCAGTATCAGAACGTTCGATTAGTTGCCTTCTGAACTTCCAGTCGAGAATGCTGGCGTCCAGTGGTTCCGTAGACGCGCGAACAAGAGGGGGTGCCATGAGTCAGTATAGGGAGCTGGGGACTTGCAAGACTTGGAAAAGATGAGTAACGTTCTTTAGACTTCAAAACAGTACGAATGCCTTGTGGCTATTGACTTCTTTTATACTCATGAGCGTAGCTGGACTACCATGCCCATCTGAGATGAACAATATCTGAAATATATAATGCTTATGGGTGCATTGAAGGCCCTAGCATTATTGTAGGTCTCCCTCCCGGGAGACTTAATTGTTCCAGAGGCCCTGTTGGGATGTGATACTATGCTTGTGACACGGTAGACTGTCATCCCAAATGGCTTATGCACCCAGTTTGGTCCGTTACACGAGTAATCACGGCGAACTTTGTCCATTGCCAAGTCGATACCGAATCCGATGGCCGTAGCGGAAACCTGCAGAGAGGAAACTACATACAGACCTTAGTGTCTGTTGCCAAGAGGTACCCGCTCGGGAAATGCCGAACATGAGGGAGGTCATTACTGGCGTAACCTTGGGGGGTGTCAAAACGGCTCCTGTTGGGTTCAAACTTCAGACCAAGTTCAGACACCAGTTTGAGCATCAAACACAGGTTGTCTTGGATTGCAGAAGGTGATGACAGACGATAATCGAGCTTGGCTTGCGTCCCGCTAAATCTATAAAACAATATGATGTCGGCGACGCAGAGCAACGGATGCAAGATATCTGATGCGCAGGGCCGGTTGTCGAAAGATGATCAGCGGTGGGACAGAGGAGTTTCAGATTGCATCGGGCGCTGCCTTGTCCATGGCTATCGATTGTAGTCAGACGGCAGGGCTTTCAGTCGCCCTGCTTTTATACAGCACTGGAGACGTGGCGCTTTACAACGCTATGAAATATCGTACATTACAAGATGGGTAAATCATACTTAATCCAAACACCAGACGCAAAAATACGTAGTCTTGCCATCAAACTACGGTCATGAGCGATCTCCATGATAGTGCAACCAGGTTTTTGAACGCGCCACTGCTCAAGAGCTCCAGAGAACTCGAGGGTAGGGGTGACAGATTCGAGTGCTAGCGCCAGGCTGCGTGCCAGCGGCTCGAGAGTCTAGACAGAAGATAAGAGAGAATTCCGAGGTGTGTCATGGGCTAAACATCACGGAACATAAGGTGACATCAGTTGTGGCCACTTTGACGGGGAGAATCGTCGAAACACACACCTTCACAAATTTCTGCCCTTCAGATAAGACGACAAGGCAAGACCGCAGACCCTTCAAACACCACTCCATTTCCAGCCAGGGGATAATATGATCATTCCAAAAAGCCTGGAATATATGATTGAGCGTGTCATCCCATGGATTGGGGGCACGCGAAAGATGTACGGCCCAGTTATGACAGGCGTACTTGAGAGCATCGGAAGCTGATTGACTTCGTTCCTGTGCTTCAATTGCGAACCTCTGAAAGACATTCACAGCATGAAGTATCTCCCTGTCTGGTAGAAGAAGACTTTCTGGTAATGTAGAGGCGGAATGATGCTGGGGTCTTAATGCCAGGAACACCGGAAACATCAAGAAATCTGGCAAGGTCTCCAACTGCTGGATTACTTGGAAAGCTGGCAGTAAAGGTACATCGCTGATAACGATGTACTCGTTGATTGCTTCTAATGTCCTCACGAATTCTTCCATCGTCATCCAGACGGAGGCCGCAGGAGTGGACTGCCACACTTGACCGAGAGGAGTCTGCAGCCAGCGTCGTCCCCCCTCGGTCTGCAGCCACTCTCGTCCTGCTTCGGTCTGCAGCCAGTCTTGTCCTGCCTCAGTCTGCAGCCACTCTCGTCCTGCCTCGGTCTGCAGCCACCCTCGTCCAGCTTCGGTCTGTAGCCACTCTCGTCCTGCCTCGGTCTGCAGCCACTCTCGTCCTGCCTCGGTCTGCAGCCACTCTCGTCCTGTCTCGGTCTGCAGCCAGCCTCGTCCTGCCTCGGTCTGCAGCCTGCCTCGTACTACCTCGGCCTGCAGCCACTCTTGTCCTGCCTCGGTCTGCAGCCAGTCTCGCCCCGCTTCGGTCTGCAGCCAGTCTTGTCCTGCCTCAGTCTGCAGCCACTCTTGTCCCTCGGTCTGCAGCCATTCTCGTCCTGCCTCGGTCTGCAGCCAGCCTCGTACTGTCTCGTTCTGCAGACACTCTCGTACTGCCTCGGTCTGCAGCCACACTCGTTCCCCCTGGATCTGCAGCAGCCACTCTCGTTCTTCTTTGATATGCCGCAGCCACTCCCGTTCTCCTTCGATATGCCGCAGCGACTCTCGTCCTGCTACGGTCTGCAGCCAGCGTCGCCCTCCCTCGGTCTGCAGCCACTCTTTTCCTGCCTCGGTCTGCAGCCACTTTTGTCCTCCCTCGGTCTGCAGCCACTCTTGTCCTCCCCAGGTCAGCAGCCAGCGTCGTCTTCCCTGGGTCAGCAGCCAGCGTCGTCCTCCCTGGGTCAGTAACCAGCGTCGTCCTCCCTCCCGCCAGCGTGCCTCGCTGTGCAGCCAGCTTCCCTCGCTGTGCAGCCAGTCTCGTCCTCCTTGGGTCTCCAGCCAGGCATACCCGTCCACAGTCCCCAACCAATATCGTAAATCTGAAGTGCGATCTCCTCGAAGCCACAGCATACAGATGACAGCTGATAGTGGCTCAGGTGGCAGAACAAGGAACGCCAGTGAGTCTTTTAACCTATGGGCGTCCTCAGGTTGCATAGCTTTGTTCTGCTTCTTCAGTTCCAAGAGTGCATCCAAGAGACCCGTGCTTGCTGGAATCGCCATCATCAAGCGGAGAGAGGAACGTGCGAGTAGAATGTGGGGTGATGTGATATCGCGTACATGAGGGAGGCTGCAATTTGAGGGGTCGGAAACATAGTCGCGAATGGACGAGTGATAGATATTCACGGGGACAGTGCTGTCTGTAGGGATATCCATGACAGACCGTAGCTGAATCAGCGTTGTCTGCACATCCCTTCCCCAACTAGGGCCAAGAAGTATCGAGATTTGCGAGATGGGAAGAGGGTCTGCAAGGGCGGCGACAATGGACAAGTGCATGTAAGCCCGTTTGGGGTTGGCACACGTGGAGAGGATGCAATCATATAACTTGTACACCTCCGTTCCTGGTAGGAGCGAGCTCGTCAGCTTGAGCATCAGCTGTACGCGATCGCGTGGATCCTTGTCTTCATCGTCGATAATAAACTTCATCATCGTAGACGCTACGATGAAACGTCTGCCAGCGCGGCTCGCCAGCTGCGCGAGTTCATCCCTCGTTGGCTGAGGGAAATCGGGATGGCGACTTGCCAGCTCTTCGAAGGAATGCCGCAGGAAAGTACAGATGTCGTTGTCAACGTCTGCGCCGTCTAGCGAGATGATAGTAGCAACGCCCTCCCCAGAAGTTTTCACTGGTATCTCGCACACCAGTGGGCGCACCTCTTCGTTCTGAAAGACTTTACAGATATGCGACTCCGAGCGACTCGTGAGCAGAATGTGGGTCACGGGCAGGTCAGGCTCACGAAGAGCTCGTGCAAGGGAAAGGATGAGATCGGTAAGCTCGGGTTCCGATGTGCATTCATCAAGGGCATCGACGACAAACGACAAAGGCGGACATCCGCGCAATCTGAGCCGAAGTTTCCGGAGGGGTTGAAGAAAGAGAGCCTCCATCTGGTCGCAGAGAGGTGTGCCTGGGTCTAGTAGAGCAGGATTGTCGCGGATAGCTCTGTTCACATCCTTCCGGATACTGGGGAAATTTGTGGCAAGCTGGTAGACAAGTGTCGCAAAAAAATAACCAGCCGTGCAACGTTTCGTGTGCTTGCGCGAGAAAAAGAACGTCCCGGCTAGCCGCTTTTCGACGTTCGTCTCTTCTACCACCTTTAGACCTCTCATCCTCTCCGCTACTGTGAACGCAACAGCGGACTTTCCGACGCCAGCCGTGCCATGCAGCCAAACAAGTTTATTCTTCTCTGGGTCATCCAGGAATCCGTGGATGTGTTTGAGGAGATCCACCCGGGTCCCTTCCAAACATTTGGGGTGGGGATGACGTTCAGTGGAATTATATTGAGCACCCTTGACAGCGACCTCGGACAGCTTCGCCCAAATTTCTTGAAGATCTGTCAAAGAGGTCAAAGAGCATGCGAGAGATAAGAGATGGAAATACTGACATTGATCGTCACTCATTGACGAAGGTTGTGATATGCGAGATGCAACGAACCAATTGAAAGTACGAGTTACTAGTTGGGTCGAGGGTGCGGCTAGAAATAATCTCGGCGAGAGGTACGAAGATTTGAAACAACTTAAAGCTTGTAAGTTGTGGCAAGACTTGGGTCGCGGAACGATCGAGCTGTCGATTGATGGAGTGCAAAGCGTGATGAAGATGGGATGGACGAATGGATGTTTCAATCTATTCTGCTCGTCGGATGGTTATGAGATGCAGCTTGTCGGACTTTGTCCAGTGCTTGCAGGAGGACACGACGCTGCTGTGCGGCCTTGGTGTGGCCAAACTACTGCACAGCCAGACAGAACCACGTCAATAGCACCTGTACAACTGCGCACATCTCTAGATTTTCTGAGCAGCGAGCCTAGATTTCTGTAGATAACTGATCAATTGTATTAAGGTGCTGTGGCATTTATTGAACAGATGGGAAACCGAAATTTGGTGTGAAAGCTTTGTATGATTTTGCTAAGCCTAACTATATGATTTCCGAGTTGGGTGCCAAGATTATCTAAAATATAGTAAACGATAAACGATTTTCATTAGTACCGGTACCGGGTGTCAGATTACATCAGGCGTTGCTGTGGATTCACTTGTCCATGGCTATCGATTGTAGTCAAACGGCAGGGCTTTCGGTTGCTCTGCTGTTATACAACACCGTGACTGGCGACATGGTGCTTTCCTGGGCTATGAAATACCATACATTAAAAGATGGGGAAATCATACTTGATTTAAACAGTAGATGCAAAAATACATAGTCTCGCCATCAAACTACGGTCATGAGCGTCGAGCGGCCTCTATGATAGTGCATCCAGGCTTTTGAACGCGCCACTGATCAAGAGCTCCAGACAACTCGAGGGGTAGGGGTGACAGATTCAAATGCTAGCGCCGGGTCGTGAGTTAACGGCTCAAGAGTCCGGACTGATGATAAAAGAGAATTCCAAGGCGTCATCTCATGGACTAAATATCATAGAACGTAAGGTAACATCAGTTGTGGCTACCTTGAATTGTTGAAATACACACCTTCACAAACATCTGCCCTTCAGTTAAGACAACAAGGCAAGACCGCAGGCCCTGCAAACACCACTCCATTTCCAGCCAGGTGATAATATGATCGTTCCAAAAAGCCTGGAATATATGATCGAGCGTGTTATCCCATGGATTGGGGGCACGCGAAAGATGTAAGGCCCAGTTATGACAGGCGTACTTGAGAGCGTCGGAAGCTGATCGACTTCGTTCCCGTGCTTCGTTTGCGAACCTCTCAAAGGCATTCATAGCACGAATTATCTCCCTGTCTGGTAGAAGAAGACTTTCTGGTAATGCAAAGGTGGAATGATGGTGGCGTCTTAATGCCAGGAAGACCGGAAACATCAAGAAATCTGGCAAGGTCTTGAGCTGCTGGATTACTTGGAAAGCTGGCAGCAAGAGTACATTGCTGATAACGATGTACTCGTTGATTGCTTCCGATGTGCTCACGAATTCTTCCATCGTCATCCAGACGGAGGCTGCAGGAGTGGACTGCCACACCTGACCGGGGGGAGTCTGCAGCCAGCGTCGTCCTGCCTCAGTCTGCAGCCACTCCCGTCCTGTCTCGGTCTGCAGCCACTCTCGCCCTGCCTCGGTCTGCAGCCACTCTCGTCCTCCCAAGGTACGCAGCCAGCGTCGTCCTGCCTCGATCTGCAGCCACTCTCGTGCTGCCTCGGTCTGCAGCCACCCCCGTCCTGCCTCGATCTGCAGCCACTCCCGTCCTGCCTCGATCTGCAGCCACTCCCGTCCTGCCTCGATCTGCAGCCACTCTCGTCCTATCCCGGTCTGCAGCCAGCGTCGTCCTGGCTCGGTCAGTAGCCACTCTCGTCCTGGCTCGGTCTGCAGCCACTCTTGTCCTGTCTCGGTCAGCAGCCACTTTTGTTCTGTCTCGGTCTGCAGCCACTCTCGTCCTCTCTCGGTTTGCAGCCAGTGTCGTCCTCTCACGGTACGCAGCCAGTGTCGTCCTGGCTCGGTCTGCAGCCACTCTCGTCTTGCCTCAGTCTGCAGCCACTCCCGTCCTGGCTCGGTCTGCAGCCACTCCCGTCCTGCCTGGATCTGCAGCCAGTGTCGTCCTGGCTCGGTCTGCAGCCACTCTCGTCCTAGCTCGGTCTGCAGCGACTCTCGTCCTCCCCAGGTCTGCGGCCACGTTTGTTTTACCGAGGTCCGCAGCGACTCTTGTTCTCCCAAGGTCAGTGGCCACACTTCTTCTCTCCGGCTCTGCGGCCAGCGTCGTCCTCTCCGGGTCTGCAGCCAGTCCCGTCCTCCCTCGCTCTGCAACCACGCTCGTCCTCCCTCGCCCCACAGCCACTGTCGTCCTCTCTTGCTCTGTAGCCACTGTCGTCCTCCCTGGGTGTGCAGCCAGGCATTCCCGTCCACAGTCCCCAGCCAGGCATGCCCGTCCACAGTCCCCAGCCAATATTGTAAATCTGAAGTACGATCTCCTCGAAGCCACAGCGTACAGATGACAGCTGACAGTGGCTCAGGTGGCAGAGCAAGGAACGCTAATGAGTCTTTCAACCTATGGGGGTCCTCAGGTTGCATAGCTTTGCTCTGCTTCTTCAGTTCTGAGAGTGCGTCCAAGAGACCCGTGCTTGCTGGAATAGCCGTAATCAAGCGGAGAGAGGAATGTGCGAGTAGGGAGTGAGGTGATGCGAGATCGCGTACTTGAGGGAGGCTGCAATTTGAGGGGTCGGAAACATAGTCGCGAATGGACGAGTGATAGATATTCACGGGGAGAGTGCTGTCTGTAGGGATATCCATGACAGACCGTAGCTGAATCAGCGTTGTCTGCACATCCCTTCCCAAACCAGGGCCAAGAAGTGTCGAGATTTGTGAGATGGGAAGAGGGTCTGCAAGGGCGGCGACAATGGACAAGTGCATGTAAGCCCGCTTGGGGTCGGCACACGTGGAGAGGATGCAATCATATAACTTGTACACCTCTGTTCCTGGCAGCAGCGAGCTCGTCAACTTGAGCATCAGCTGTACCCGATCGCGTGGATCCTTGTCTTCATCGTCGATAATAAACTTCATCATCGTAGACGCTACGATGAAACGTCTGCCAGCGCGGCTCGCCAGCTGCGCGAGTTCATCCCTCGTTGGCTGAGGGAAATCGGGATGGCGACTTGCCAGCTCTTCGAAGGAATGCTGTAGGAAAGTACAGATGTCGTTGTCAACGTCTGCGCCGTCTAGCGAGATGATAGTAGCAACGCCCTCCCCAGAAGTTTTCACTGGTATCTCGCACACCAGTGGGCGCACCTCTTCGTTCTGAAAGACTTTACAGATATGCGACTCCGAGCGACTCGTGAGCAGAATGTGGGTCACGGGCAGGTCAGGCTCACGAAGAGCTCGTGCAAGGGAAAGGATGAGATCAGTAAGCTCGGGTTCCGATGTGCATTCATCAAGGGCATCGACGACAAACGACAAAGGCGGACATCCACGCAATCTGAGTTGAAGTTTCCGGAGAGGTTGGAGAAAGAGAGCCTCCATCTGGTCGCAGAGAGGTGTGCCTGGGTCTAGTAGAGCAGGATTGTCGCGGATAGCTCTGTTCACACCATTCCGGATGCTGGGGAAATTGGTGGCAAGTTGATAGACAAGTGTTGCAAAAAAATAACCAGCCGTGCAACGTTTCGTGTGCTTGCGCGAGAAAAAGAACGTCCCGGCTAGCCGCTTTTCGACGTTCGTCTCTTCTACCACCTTTAGACCTCTCATCCTCTCAGCTACTGTGAACGCAACAGCGGACTTTCCGACGCCAGCCGTGCCATGCAGCCAAACGAGTTTATTCTTCTTTGGGTCATCCAGGAATCCGTGGATGTGTTTGAGGAGATCCACCCGGGTCCCTTCCAAACATTTTGGGTGGGGATGGCGTTCAGAGGAGTTATATTGAGCACCCTTGACGGCGACCTCGGACAGCTTCGCCCAAATTTCTTGAAGATCTGTCAAAGAGGTCAGAGAGCATGCGAGAGATAAGAGACGGAAATACTGACATTGATCGTCACTCATTGACGATGGTTGTGATATGCGAGATGCAACGAACCAATTGAAAGTACTAGCTGGATTCGAAGTTGTGGTTAGAAATAATCTTGGCGATAGTTATCTGGAGGGACGACGTACGAACATTTGAAATAAAGTACTGCGGCCACTATACCAGGCCCAGCTTGGGCACTACTGCGGCCACACTAATACCAGTGCACAGCCAGAGCGCAGTTGTACAACTGTACATGATGTGCATATGCATGACGATTGATCTCCTTGATTTCTGTACGTAGATAACTGTGATCAATTGGATTAATATTATTAGTACATCCACAAAAGTAGTGTCTCAGGCGTACGTGTATGTCAGTTACTAATACTATGGTAGTAATTACAAACTGAGCACGTGAGCGACGCGGCATCGGAGTTGCACTGAAGTTCTATGAACCAAATCATCATGATATACCCGCCCTCAGGCTGTAGCGTACGCCTCTTCCCTCAGTCTGTCACACGAACTGAGGAGACTGATTGTAACATTGTCTAGTCTTCACAACAACCTGAGGCCTCACTGAGAGCTCGAGTACGTACAACAGAAAGTTAAGGAAAGTGTAGCCGAGTCGATGATATACGAGTGTACGAAATTGAACTAGTATTGTACGACCATCGACGTCATATGATCGAGCACCCCCAAATGCCATCACGGTCGTCTAAATCGATCAAGCGCGGATGGTTTGCGCGCCTCTATCTGACCATTCTCGATAGCCTTTGCCACGCGCTTTTCCTCCCGCTGCTTTCTCCAGTTTTGCACGAATGGCGACCTATATTTGCAGAGCGCACGAACATGAGCACACGATTAATGAATGGAGCGATCGACTGAGGCTTACCGCAGTGGGATCGATGACATTTTTACGTTGCTTCCGGAGGTATCTGGATTTTCAATATAATAAGCGATAGGCTGCAGTGTTTTATACGAAATATATACCTTTTGAGACTCTTGCCTTTGCCGCGCATTTTCCGCTTCTCTTTCTCCGCTCGTGACTGTGGTTTATCATTCTTGTCGCCGTCACCTTCAGCACCATCCTCGTCGTCGGCATCAACGAGCTCCGTTTCATCCGCTTTACCCTGGACACGTAGTCGCTCGAGGCGAGGGAGACGAGCGAAGGGAATATCGTGCGTGTCGTTGACAGCAGGTCGTTAATTTTGTTGGTGGTGCAAGGGCTCCGACGAAATCTGGGTCGAGTGTGATCATGTCCGATTGAATCTAGGTTGATGGATAGTCCATATCAGCGTCATTAGAAATGATCTAGACGTTGAGCGTACCTTGTCCAATAGACCCTTGACTTCCCTTTCCCTTCTTGCCTTTTTGTTCTCGAATGGATCGGCTTCCGTACTGTCGAAGTTTGGTTCGCCAACCCCAGGCACAAGAATGCTCGACAGACCAGCATTGTGTCCGATCGTAAGGATATCTTGGAAGGGGCAAAACCGCACCGAAGTGAGCGGTCGATGTGGTATTGGGTGTGTAAGGTAAAGAGGCGGCGGGGCTTTGGCTGCGTGCGGGGTCTGTATTGACGGTTTTGTGTATACCTGGCACGCAATAGATGAGAACCGCCACAAGTAAGAGTGCAGTGACTCACATTCACACTTCCACCTACTGCCACACCTAACGCACCCCTCGCACTCCATTCCAACTCAGCGCTACCACCTCTTGTCGTCCATTCCCGCACAGTACCCTTCCAATTTCGGCAGTCCCAAACCTTTACGACGCCATCCTGACCTGACGTCGCCATATAGCGCCCACCAGAACTCGGATCGACACTCAGCCCCACAACCGGACCGAGATGTGCTAGGATTTGTACAGCAGGATGAGGAATGTTTGGCGTCCACAGGGTGACAACACCATTGGAGTGACCAAGGTGTAGCACCGCGTTGTGTTTATTTTGTGCGAGTGTATGACATGCCCCGAGCTTTGTTCGATGCTCAGCGACGATGTGACCTGTAGAGGTATCTTGATATTTTAGAAATCCGTTGTTTCCCTAATGTTAACTGAGCTGGCACAAGTTGACATTGAACTGGAATAACTCACCACACTAGCAAGCAACCAGTGATATGGAAGAAATTCGAGTCGCGTGGGTTCAATGTGAGCCTTCAATCGGTGCAGCTCGACACCATCACGGTCGTATATGAATACATATTTTTTTTGTGCGACTGCGAAGAACGACTGATCCTGCAAAAATCTTTATTGAACGATTGAGAGTTGTTACACGCAAGTAACAAGCGACGTACGTGATATCGCGACAATGTTTCCTGCAGCTGAAGCTCCGCATGCATGGTTCCTGTTTGCCAGTCAAAAGTCGCGACATGACCCATATTGCCAACAATAGCAAGATGTCTGCCATTCCTCGAGTATCTCGAGCGATATGGACCACCATCCAACTTCAGCTCCCGTCGTCCCTTGGCAGCCTCCTGACCAGGCACTTTGCACAATATCATCCTGGCCTATTCTCCAAGTTCGTTCCAGCTCGGTCTCCACCTGCATTTTCCCTGCCTCGCTTGTGAGCAATAGTTCAGCATCTTCGACAAGTGCTTTTGAACGCGCAGCATGTGCCGCCTGCCGGTTTAGTTTCGTTCTGAGCTTGAGATCCTTGACGTGCTTGTGCTTTGGCACATTGTCTGGTGGTGGAGAGGTAGGACGAAGGGATTTCGGCAGGGTAGTATTTTGTGACTTGACAAACAAGGCATCTACAGGAGGCGCCATTCGTACGCAGATCTCGCCCGGATGCTAGAAAGTGATTCGTACGAGGCCGAAGCATGCGCAAAACTCAGCTGACTAAGCTAAACGATGGAAAACCAGACGCACACGTCCGGCTTTCCACTGTACTTAGTACTAAACACAATCCCAGGACCCAGTCACCGGTGTCATGATTTTGAACAACTCTTAATCGATCTGATCCGACAGCGCGCTCGACATGTAGCGCAGATTCACGCCGCTCATGATTAATCTGATTTCCGGGCGGCATGCGCTACCAACATAGAATGCGCTTAGCATTCATCACTCACGGACACATCTCGGGAACAGCGGGACGGGCTGTCCGTGTCAACCGTTATTCAATGGTGTGTATTTCTCGACTGTCATTCAAAAGTGTCTCACATGAAATATGTGTGTATACCACCGAGGCAGAGTAAGGCTGTTCAAATCTCTTTATTTCCTCTTGACAAAGGTTCGGCAATTTCAATCCACCCGCAGCTTGTACCATCCAAATGAGCCTTTAACTGACCTTCCTCCCATTCACCCAACGTTCACCCGCACTAAAATGGTCGATTGCTTATCCCGCTCAGGTGACAGGGAGTATGATCACTGCGAATTGGATGCCCGCAGATCTTATAAAGCACCATAAGCCCTGTGTTAAAAACTGCGGAGAAAGTCGCTGAGCGGCCATTATATAAATACGTATGTGAAAACGAGCTTGACGAGGATTATAATTCTGGCACTTTTCTACCAGGTCAAGGTTGCTGACGCAGTAGCAACGTTCCCTAGCTGTGTTATTTATGACCATACCACAGGCTCGGTTCACCAGCACGGGTACTCCGGTAACTCATTACTGTCTATGTAAATGACGCACATGTTTCTTTACTTTCGATTTGTATATCAGTGTATGATTACAGCTATGCTGCGTCAAGGTTACTCCGTATCTCCGGGACCCCTCGCATTGCGTTTAGATATACGATACGTCATTATACTGATGAGTCACGCCAAGTAAGTAGCGTAGCGTCCGAGTCACCATCTCAGTATCACTGACTACAATTTGTATTTCTTCAAACCAGGATACGAGGTGACCCCCACGCGCAGTAGATATTTGATTAGTACTGCATATTCAACAGCTGTTTGGCAATTCCCTGAAAACCCTGAGTACGCGCTCTTCCTCGCATAGCTATTGGCGTCAATCACATCGCCACTGTTTCTCACTGTCATTGTGATTATAACACTTATGATGACTTCCCCAAAGCCAAACGCGTTTGTGAGCCTTTCCCACAATTGCAGTCATGGAGGCATGTGTAGTTGTCGCAGAAATAAATACACGGTGGTCGTTGCTTTGTTTCTTCAGGCTCTTGCCATCTCCTCTCTGCCAACATGTCTGAAACGTTGATCGTGGAAGAAGTCATGCAGGCAGCGCTTTCCGGTACGCTAGCCACCATGTTACTGTATGGCGTCACTTGCATGCAGACCTTCCACTACTGGCAAACATACACGCGTGATAAGAAGTATCTGAAGTCTATGGTAATTCTATCAAACGTATGCATACGAGATTTATCTGACACTGTCATAGGTGGCATTCATCTGGTATGCTAAACTTCGTTCCTGTGTTTCGTGCGATCACGGGACACATTCCGACTATTCAGGCTTCTCGAGACTGCCCATACAGCATTGTCGATACACTTTGTAGAATATTATCTCATCATCCATTTCGGAGAGTTTACGCACTTGGGATATGCAGTCTGGTGCGTCAATTTTCGTAAGATATCTATTATGGCTCATTCATCACAGGAGCATGGGGGTAAGCAGCCAGTATAAACAGTAAATGCCCTGTTGATCTCGCCCGCTTCCACCAGGCTACATGCTTCATTGGTGTATGTCACTTTTGTGTTTGCCTGAAGATCGCTGTAGTGACACGATAACAGTTTTTTATAGGTTATGTTGTGAACCTGTAAGTCACTCGAAGTACCGTACAGCTCGTGCTGATGTTACTAGTTGCTTCATCTGGCGGATATTGCAACGTGAGTACCTCAATACACGCATTAACCTCCTCCCTCAATTGCGTGCGCAGTGGGCCAGAATCGTTGGATTGCTGTTTGCTTTGTATGTTGCAATCATTTTTGATGTCGAGAATTTCTGCCCAAGCTCTTGTTATAGGTCGCCGTCGCAACCGTTCGCTGTGGTAGAATCTTCAATTTGAACATCGGGCTTGCACACTAATTTGTTGTAGGATTTGGACTTGCAAACTGCGTTTTGAGGCATGTCCTACTTATATTTGATGATCCAATTACTGACTATAGTTTGCACAGTTTCATCTATCCTATGTGGACGGACTTCAGAGGACGGGTCTTTGTGTGTACTTCAATAAATACCCACAGGTCTATTGGTCTCAAAGTATCACCAGGCAACCATGGTGACTGGTCAAGTGCTTTCAGCAGTCGTCGACGGCGTGATTGCATTTACATTATGCTTTTATCTTCGAAAACGTCGCACTGGCATGAAAAGGCAAGATATCAGTTGGCTCAACTCTACGTCAAGGTCACCTTGTTGCCCTTAGGACTAACAGTATCATAAAACGCCTCCAATTATATAGCATCAACACTGGTGCCATCACGTCGTAAGCCTACTTCCAATGATATACCTTCTAAAATACAGGCGCTTCATTTCCCATAGGCTTTTCGCCGTGCTAGCGGTCATCTCGGTAAGTGAATGTCCAAGTGGATAGTGCTCACCCCAACTAACTCTAATCAGTTTATTTATCTACCAACTACTACAGCATTCGTTGCTTTTGTTCAAGTCCAGGGCAAACGTCTGTCTGATTAAGTTGCCATCTTTGACTCAGCTGACACTTTATGTAGTCTATGCAACATCATTTTTAGCATCGTGCGTGTTTTGGTTTTGGCTTCTATTTGTCAACTGAAAATATTCACAAGGTTAAACGCCCGCAAAAGGACGCTCGAAAAGATCGAACAGCCTGTTCCCACCGCGGACGCGCTTTCCTTGTTCAGAGCAGCACGACCGGATCTGTCATTTCTGGTTTGTACCTTGATACCATTTTTTGCTTGTCGGAGACTCAAGTCATGTGTTAGCAAGCGATTGAAGCCGAGAAGAGTATTACAATAAACATCTGCGGCGACAGTCTAAATACTGGAATGGACAGCCACGCAACTGGGCCAGTAGTTTCCTAGGGCTGATACATGATGAACATACTGTTTATCCACTTGGTTCATTCTTTACCGCCAGCGTTCTCTTTAAATTATAGACTATCATTAGTGTAGCGCGAAGGAGGCTTAATCTAAATTATTTCATTGAACTAAACAACAAGACTTCCAGGCTGACCAGTTGACCTCAAGTTCAAACATGAATCGTGGTAAAACTCCCCTGAGTAGCATTACGTTCTCCCCCTTTCTCCCCTAGACAGACCCGGGTATGGATAATGTTTGGATGATGTCGTTGCTTCTCTACTATGCCTCGGTTAGTGTAGGGGGCAGAAAGGAATTGGCAAAATGGCAGAACGGCAATTGGCAGAATGGCAGAAGTCGGCAAAAAGTATTATGAACGTTTTTGGCTCTTTTCCACTATGTTTCTACTACGGCAAAAATAGCCTTGACCACTACATCGAGGCTACACCTTCTGACATCAAAAGTGCATTAATATTCCACCCTGATGCACTCTCTGAGCCTTGATTGAGTACATCAATCTCTTCAATGCATGATACCTCTGTCAACCCTCTAGCTCGCTCAGGCTCAAGTCAATGACTGCCGCTATCCAGAATGTCTGGTACATCACCTGCAATCAAACCATGTGCCTGCCCTGTCGTTTTCTCACAGTTGGTCAGCTTCTCATGTCTTGCGCTCGAATCTTTTGCTCACATCAACTCCTTGTCAGTCATTGATTCCGAACCTGCAAGATAGTCTTGGTCATCAGAGTTTGCTGCGAGGGGAGGAATCCAAGCAACCGATTTTTGCGACTTGTCGGCAAAAGCAACATCGAGTTCATGTTTAGGACAGGTATATGTGTGTGTTTGACAAACAGGCTTCCCAGCTTTGGAGTCCATCTTGTACAGGAAGTACGCATAGCTTGCATGAAGTGATTCAAACGGACTGAGATGAAAAGTAGTGCTTGATATCAGCCGTGTGAGGTACAATTGAATGGATGTGAGCAGTAGTTACATTTTAAAAGTAGTGTTTCGAGTTGTTTTTGACTTTCTCCCTGGGAAAAAGTGGTCAGACACGATGTTTTGGACATGATGGCCCTTGGATTTTGGGGCCATGGTAATTGCCAACTTGCACACCAAGATACATCAACCATATATCAAATTTCTATTGTTTGTTAGTAGGAACAAGTACTAGGTTATCATAGTTCTGCCGACTTCTGCCAACCACCACCTACTGCCGGCAATTGCCGCCTGGCAATTGCCACTGGCATAAATATTTCATTCTGCCAACAACACTAGCCTCGGTGATAAGTTGCTTTCGCATAGCAGTTCCTAATTCAAAATACTAAAGGGGATACTCCGATGAGTCCATTTCAGATCTTGTTAGTGCGCATTACTGTAGCTACATGGATTTAGTATGGAACATCCCTTCGGTTGGCCCATCTATTGGGGAAAACTATATCAAAATGCAACTTGACGGTGCGTTGTCATGTGTTTTGCAAATGATATTATTAATTTATTGAGCAGAGATAGGATTTCCAAAATTTCCATTCGAATTTGCAACGTGTTCAAGGACATTCGTACGTGGCTCTGCTATTTTCGTCATTGTAATCTACGCGATAGCCATCATTTGAAGAGAATATTTCGAGACTGCAATCAAGGAGGGGAAGACAGGTCTACGTTATCCTCCAAGCGGACCATCTCGGATTTAGGGACAAAAACACGATGCTCATCAACCCAATCCAAGATCTTCTCAAAGTTTCTGCATCGGTGAGGAATGTTGAAGTTAGGAAAAGGATCTTTGACTCCCTCTACCCAGTCGTAAGTGAGCATTGTCACGTCGCCACGACACATAATGTTCTGCCTGAGCATTTCGATGCAGTGGTCTGAGGTACAATATACTAGTAAGCAGGATGTAAGTTGGGCAGGAAACAGTATACCAACCGAGATGAATACGATAGTTTTCAGGGGATTCGTTATGACCCAAGGAATTATCATGGTTACCCCAGCTGGCTCTGCGAAGCATGTCCTGCAGAGGAGTGAGTAAATATCGACCAGCCTCCCTGTATTATAACTGACTATGCAATGGAGTTGGTGAATGACTTCTACAGTTGACATGTAACCTCCACCGTATTCGTCCGGATACCTAGTCATGGCGGGAGAAGGTTTCTCCCCTGTTCTTAGCAGTTGCTCAAGCGTCATACCAACTGGACGCGCTGGGAAATATAGTGCGAGTCAGTAAATGCCTATGATGTAAGTGAAGCATAGGGTGTAACCATTAAGAGATATCCTATCCCAAGCGGCGTCAACTTCTGGAGACGGGCTGCCACGATATATAGAAGAGGCGCCCAGAGTTCCATTTAATCTTATAATGCCGATAGATTCGAACGCCTCATTTGCTGGAGCTGCGACGAGTAAGCAAGGGCCTGTGCGTTAACGCTATCTATCCACCTACAATACAGAATAACGTCATCAATCGACGGCGCCCGTACCCATAGCACGAAGAACACCACCGTTATGGACATCAGCACACCATGGCTTAGCCACGGCGACCAGCGAAGGAGACGGGATTTTGGAGGAGGTCTTGTTTCTGTATTGCTATCAAGAAGGTTCGTATCGTCACGATCGTCGACTCCGTTGACAAGGGAATACGATGCAGAATATTCCTGAGTACGCATACTAGCAGTAGCTGGCGCAAGAAAAGGACTTGAGTTTCAACTTCAAGACACTCGGGGTGCACTTGGAACACAAGTCATACAGTAATACTCGTGGGCAAGTTGGAAACCATGGCCTAAATACATAGAGGGGCTTGAGTTTGCTTTACCAGCCACTCGAGCGCTTGAGCCGCAATGCCGCATCATGATTAATATTGATCTGGCAATTGGCTGGTGATGGGAGTAATGATGAGAACTATGTTATGTAAGCAACTCTTGAAAGAGTCGATCAAGGTCGATCAATCCTCAAAACAAACAAACCTGGCATCAGCCAACTATCTGCGCATGTTCTCAGGATTCCCAGATTTCTTTCAATCAAATCCATCTTAGGCTTCTCCGACTCGGAGTTCCTCGCACTTCTCCGATCATCCGGGCCTGCCCTTCCCCATCGAGGTCGCCCGAATACTACCTCCCTTCCAGCGCTCTGGGCATGTGACTTTCGCACCGGTGCCATGGACTAGTACTGCTGTACAATAACCTAACACACCTGAGACAAGCCGATTGCAGCCGATTGGGGGCCATATTCGAAATCAATACACTTGGTAAATATGATTTCTCGGGATAGTATGTATCGCATCTACCCTCGCGTATTCTCAACTATCCCTACAACCCCCGAGTTCAGCAAACGGAGTTTCGCCATGATCATGCTCAAAGATTCCTCGCAGTACTCTCCTGTCGATTCTGTTGACAATGATAACGAGGAGAAATCATTTGGTGATGCAGAAAGGTTCCGTGCAGAACCTCGTACCAAGTCGCATATCCTTCGCGTGTGGCCTATGTTGAGCCATGGCGCATTGATATGCACATCTGTGCTCTTTTTCGCGTTATGGATGGGCACGCCTTCTCCTCACCTGCATAATGACGTTCCTATATACTGTGAGTGAACAGGCATCCTCGGACAGTTAACGTATAGCGTTGATGATATGTCACAGCTCCAGCAATTGGTGCTGTTGAGTCCATGATCGTAAGATTCAATGGAACCCTCGACTTTCCTTCCATCTATCGTGGCCCTCCTTCCCCAGAAATTGATGCCGCTTGGGCCAGGATAGCTGAAGATGGTGCGTCATCTAATTTTTTCCCGTAATCCTAACTAGTAATTGTTCACGTCCATAAACCCTCAGTGCTACCAACTCGAATGTCGCTTGAGGAAATTCTCAAAGCCGGCGAAGTAGATTCACCTTCCAAGGTCAAATATCCAGCCAAATCTGGTGGAGGTTTCATGGTATCCATGGAAGCCCCTCACCAACTCCATTGTCTGGTAAGCTATACTACGCCTAAAGTCTAGACTGTCTAGTCATTATTGTCTCATATTTTGTAGAATTTACTTCGCAAAGCTTCGTGGCCTGAGCATTACGGACCCATAGATATTTCGTTCCAGGACGAGCCTGAAGTAGTCCGCATGCATCTTGGTACATATGTTTTTTTATTGATGTACCTCCTACTTATCGTATACATCACAGACCATTGCATTGAAATGATCAGGCAGAATATCATGTGCAATGCCGACGTGACGATGATAACATGGGACTGGGTTCAGGGACACGATATCCCATACCCTAACTTCAATACCCGCCACCAATGCAGGAACTACGAGAAAATCTTGGATTGGGCTGTCAAGCACGCTGTTCATATCGATGAATCCGAGGTTACTCGCTTCGAAGATACGGTTGACATCCCTTTACCCTTCCATCTGACGCACCATAATAATATATAAGGGACATCGTGCTGTTTACTCACCACTCACATTTACGAGTATCTTGCAAGAACGGCAATGATTAAGAGCTTAGTCGAATTAATGTACTGTTAGTACATCAATAATATATTTTGCCATCTATATCCTACGTATCACGATGGCTTAAGCTTCAAGCTTCAAGCACGAACAAATCCAAAACTTGGTAGGCATATGATGTTTGCTTACGAGTCGTATATTCTCCTTGTTCTCTGCTATGGCTGTCAATGTGGAGGATTGCCAGTGGTTCATTTTGGAGTCAAATAATGATTAAATTGGACTTGGGCTCGAGCGTGAGCATGCAATAATAAATCTTAAAAGTTGGTCGGAAGCCCGATGTAATCATTATTTGACTCCAACATAAACCAATCCAGAGTCTACTAATCGGCAGCCACGAGTTCAGCGTGCATTTGATCTACTTACATCTCCATCTCCATCTCCATCTCCATCCATGCTCATGATTGTTAGCATGCATTTTGTCTGCTCAATGATCTAACAAGATACTTACTATATGTACTAGTAGTGCCTGAGTTACATCAGTAGCGTAGTCAGCCAATGAAAATTGTTTATCGTCTGATAGCAAAGCCAATAATGGAAGTTGAATCATCTTGCACTTGGTATGGGCACTCGAATAATGAGTTTCGGGCAAGCGGGGTCCTCCAGCTCAATGCTCGGAGGACCCGCAATCAATTTTAGCACCGAGATATGACAACTCGAAGTAACACTAATATACAAGCCATCGGAATGACTGAGACCAGGAGTAATTAGTATCAAGATTGACACGGCTATACTATTTACTTCACTTCCATGGGACACCAGTAATCTAGTTTCGAGTCACTCTCAATTATGGAGCTGACCTAGACAGATTCCCCTTATGCCGAGGCGGTCAGAACGAAACTTCTTTTAGACTGCCCCGCCACATGCGTCGTGTCGAGTTCCCCATTCCAGTGGGAGTGGTGATTAAAGGCGCGGTACTGGCAGTTCTCTGCATTTACAGAAGGTTTACCTCTGCAATCAGAAACTGGATCCTGGAACCGAACCTCGCTGGAATCGTTTTTTATCAAGATCTGTGTTTAAGACCTTGATGTGATATGCCGCATCAAGAGTGAAATAGTAATTATTGAGGGTGCTGATAACGACTTGGAGGAGGGAGGTGCATGCTGACAGGGCCAACGCCGGCCCACGGCACCACCTGAAGTTAGTTGACATTAACTTTGTTCAGTCCTGAAACGCGTACCGATGGTGCAAAGGACCTGAAAGAACTCGTACGTGGTTGATGCTAGTGCATAGGGCGGCACAAATCCCAATCACTACCTCATGGGTACCGTACAGTCAAAAATCAAGCCACAGGCTTACAGCTAGTAGGTAACAGATTATTTTTTTTCGCGTTTAGCATCGAGTCGTCCCAATATGGCAGGATCAGCAACAAGTATGGAATGTTATGTAATAGAAGCCTGAGTGAAGTTTCCTGTTTGCTCCTTTTCATTTGACTTTGATGTATATTTTTGTGCTTGCGCCTTCCCCGAGTGCGGCGGTTCGGATTGTCGTGGTCTTCGATCTGCCAATTTGCGAATGCCTCTACTTATGCTTTGAAACAATCCCTTACAAACGTTCTGAGTGGACAAGGCTTCAGCCAATCCAGGTGACCTGAGTTATGAGCGGACCTCGTAGACGAAAGGGTATAAAGTTCTCTTGAAGATTCCAATGTAATGCATCGACAAAGTACCAGGCGCATCTCTTAACTCAAACATGAAGCTTTCTCTTGTCTTCAGCGTGCTTGCGTCTCTTGTGATTCTTGCTACAGCGTACCCCACGCAAGGAGCCACCGGCATCACGAAACGTTCCAGTGAGTATTCATAACTCATCACTATGCGGAGGTTGATACGCGTAACGTGCTGCTAGATGTGGAGAAGCGCAAGGAACTTGACGCCAATGACTCCCACTACGGGAAGAGAGGCGGGGAGAAGCGCAAGGAACTTGATGCCGACGACTTCAATTACACCAAGTACTCTAAGGAGAAGCGCGAGGAACTTAATGCTGATGACTTCAATTACCGCGCTTACTGAACTTGACGCCAGGTTCTACGCAGGTGAGTTATAGCCGTATGTCTTATTTTTTTGTGGGAGTCATCCATCGTACTAGGTCTGGCATCACCGCAGCCTCACCCACAAGTTGCTTTCCTGTACATCTACATATCTTGATTCCCTTATCTGATTGCTTGGTTTCCGACATGTTGCGTGCCCGTGTAATACAGTCCCAGTCGTCTCACTGTTTTTGACTCGACTACAGACCCGCTGAGCATCCTTGCCACCAAGCTATCATTTGGTGATATTGCGTATTGCATTTTTCAAGTCGTGTGTTCTCTCAATTCCCGTCTAAAATGAAAGACGGTATGTCAATTGTAGTCTGCTCAGTGCTAGCTGGCTCGTCCGGGGCATATCAAGGAACATCTTCTCTTGAATGGTCTTACTACGGGAGACTGCGCGTTCCTCACATCCTGAGTAATAGCATGTAGCGACATATCTATCGCGCATGGCTAGAAGAGAAAAATGCAACTACGACAGAACTGAGAAAAACCTAATTGAATTTTTAGGCATCGTTCTGTGTCACTCACCAGCACCCCTGCAACTTCTCTTTGATGCAGCTGATGCTATGACATCGCCTTGACGCTACTCAATCACACCACAAGAGGACGCAGCGATACATTCTCACTCGACGCGTAGTACTGCATGCAGTCCAGATGAGACCTTTACAAAAAATTGTCACTTTCCAAATACCGCACGCAGACGATAGGGCGCTCGCCAGTGGTTAAAATTAGACTCAAACTTCTTCAAGAATTCCGAACGTTTGTTCATCGCCTGGTCGCCGTCGTTGCTCTCTGCTGCTGCTGCGAGCGCTTGATTGGCGGATTTCGTGAAGGAGGTGTGCATTGCGAATATTGAGCACATCACTATCATGCCGGAGTACGCCTGGAGGTGCGACGATCAGTGAGTGTTCGGGTCAGAGGTCGTACTCATACCTTCGACAGTTTGGCACTAGTCAACATGCATTCATTCAGGCACGTGTCCAGAAAGTCTATGTGATCCTTCAGAAGCTGGTCTACGGTGGTTACTTTAGCCAATTTCGCCTCTAGCATCCGCTAGTTAGGTTCAAGAACCTCGAATGTCGTAAAAGCCAGTATTTGCTGAGCGAAAGTGAGCATGTAAGCTCAGGAATGCAACTCGCAGTCGCTGCTGCTCAAACTCGGGGTGGTTGGGCACGGAACACCAACAGCAACTTGTCTTCTTTCTATCCACATCAATGCGAGCAACTGTTCTACATGTTTGAGAGTAAGAGAAAATGGAACAGGAACAAGTAACGCAAAATCGTTTTGCGAGAGATGACGAGTGAAAGCGGGAATTTCACGGTGTAGTCGAGTGTGAGGGCGTCAATCGCCTGTTTGGGATGAGCAAGGACGGTAGTGCAAAAGCTTTACGCATATACCTAGCATGGGCTTCTTGTCATCCTTCTCCCAGTCGCGATCCTTATTTGCTTCTTCATCTGGTACGCCTCGCCTTCCTCACCGCCGACGATGCCGCTTACGCTGATGACCTTGAGTGTCATTCATACAATCCGCTGCTCGCGATGCTGACTCGCACATCTTCGCGGAACGCGGCATCTTCCCCTGTAAGTGCAAGGTCAAGCAGACTCTGTAGCACAACGATACTTATACCTTTCGCGGGCTTCCTCAGTTCTATGTGGGCAAGGTCTAAGAGGTGGGTGAGGAAGGATGAGGAGGCCAAAAAGAAATAACGCTTGAGAGAGCGGAGCCGAGGTATGAGCTATTGATCTTGCACAAGAGGGTTCGATTCGTGTGTGTATAGGCGTCTTCGATGAATTTGTAAAGCCTGAAAATGATCATGAAAAAGACACGGGGACTCGACCCAATGAAGAAACACGCTTTTCATCTTCCATGGCAGCTTTTTCGTTAAATCCTTGTGATCGGCTTGCACCTCGATCCTACAAAATCACACATCACGTTAAGATATTTCCCTGCAAGTAAAAACTTGTGTTTCCAACCATCCAGAAGGGGTGGGGAATCGACCTCCACCAGTACGTGACGGAGGAACACTTGTATGCTGGCGTTTCGAAGAAAGGGTCGAGCCATCGCGAAGCTACTCAGACATCAGCGTTCAGCACACATACACCCCATTTTCTCAGACACAAAGCTCACCGTATATTGTCTCTTCCAATACTTGTCTGCGTAATCCACTTCCAAAATGCCCGTACTGATGAACTTGCTCGCCTTGACACACAGCTCCTCGTATGGGTCTTCGAGAAATGACCCGTAGTTGCCCATACCCGGAGGGTCTCGACATAGGGCACCCCTGCTGTACTATTAGAAGAGTGCCGTATACCTTGACCGCGGTGGGGTCACCTGACATAGTCAGCACGCGCTCGTATATCACCGTTAACACTTCCCCACCCTTCATATTAGTAGGTGCGTCTGATGTGCTCTTCTTCATGTCAGACAAAACGGTCTTCAACTTTGCCCCACCAGGCCCAGGGGCTTCATCTCGTGCTGTCTGCTTTGGATCAAACTCAAAAGAAGATGGGAAGCTGAGGCGTCGTCGTAATCGGGGTACTTTCTGTTCCGTTAAGTCTCGAAGGGACGAATGTGTAAGAAAAAACACGAGCGAGGCCCATTCCAGTGATCCCACAAGAAAGCTGGACTGGTGGTGACAAGTTCAATGGTTGCCTCACCCGTTTCGTTCTCGGCGTTCTGCGGCTGCTGTCCTGCAGCTGCAAAAGCGCCTCCAAGAGGAACGTTTACCACAAACCAAGGTAGCTGCCTCCCCAAGACTTTCGAAACAGTCCTAGTTAATAATCACCTTAACGTAAGCCAGTTTTCAGTGACAGCGACAATGTCGAGCAAGACATATCAGGACCTCGGAAGCGAAGAATGGTAGCACTGACCACGTCTTGAGATGATGCCCACGACTGTGCAGTTACTCGCTCGGAAGAAAGAAAAATGACCTTGTATACGGAGGAATCGGACTACCACATAATATGAAAGATTGTTTAGTGACAAAGAAGACAACACATGAAAGACCTGACTGAGGAGTACTCGTGTGAATCTTGATGATACCGCCTGACAAGTTTGTGGCTCATGATAGTGGATATATATATGAGGATTCGACCTCCATCATAACTCGTCAGTTGGAGGCCAAGCACTGGCTAGTTCCAGTACTAAGTGTAGTTGATTAGTACTCACAACACGGTCACCGCAGCAGTGGTGCAGCTGGCAGCAGCCCGCCTGTGACTAACCCTGCTGTGTGAGGTGCGCATGGGGCACATCTCTCTCGATTTCTAAGCACTACTACTATACTAACGTGTGTCTGGCTGTGCAGTAGTGTGGCTGCACAGCAGCCTCGTGTTATCCTGCAAGCACTGGACGGCGAACACTTGCTTGCCCTTCAACTGTATTCCACAACCATCCAGCGAGCTTTCCATAGCAGAATAGATTGAAACATCCATCCGTCCATCTCATCTTCATCAGAGCCAAAATACCCTTCTTCGTGGACGCTTCGCACTCTCCATCAATCGACAATTGGATCGTTTCCGCAACCAAAGTCTTGTTACAACTTACAAACTTCAATTCAAATCTTCGTACGTCGTCCCTCCGGATAATTGTCGCCAAGATCATTTCTAACCATACCCTCGAACCCAGCTAGTACTTTCAATTGGTTCGTTGCATCTCACATATCACAACCTTCGTCGATGACTGACGATCAATGTCAGTACTTCCATTTCTTATCTCTCGCATGCTCTCTGACCTCTTTGACAGCTCTTCATGGAATTTGGGCGAAGCTGTCCGAGGTCGCTGTCAAGGGTGCTCAATATAACTCCCGTGAACGTCAGCCCCACCCGAAATGTCTGCAAGGGACCCGGGTGGATCTCCTCAAATACATACACGGATTCCTGGACGACACAGAGCAGAATCAGCTCGTTTGGCTGCATGGCACGGCAGGCGTCGGAAAGTCTGCCGTTGCGTTCACTGTAGCCGAGAGGATGAGAGGTCTGAAAGTGACAGAAGAGACGAACGTCGAAAAGCGGCTAGCCGGGACGTTCTTTTTCTCGCGCAAGCACACGAAACGCTGCACCGCTGGTTATTTTTTTACAACGCTTGTCTACCAGCTTGCCACCAATTTCCCCAGCATCCGGAAGGATGTGAACAGAACTATCCGCGATAATCCCGCTTTACTAGACCCAGACACACCTCTCTGCGACCAGATGGAGGCTCTCTTTCTCCAACCTCTCCGATGGCTTCGACTCAGATTGCAGGGGGGTCCGCCTTTGTCGTTTGTCGTCGATGCACTTGATGAATGTACGTCCGAACCGGAGCTTATCGATCTCATCCTTTCCCTTGCACAGGCTCTTCGTGAACCTGATCTGCCCGTGACCCACATTCTGCTCACGAGTCGCTCGGAATCGCATATCTGTAAAGCCTTTCAGAACGAAGAAGTGCGCTCGCTGGTGTGCGAGATACCAGTGAAAACTTCTGGGGAGGGTCCTGCTGCCATTATCTCGCTAGACGGTGCCGATGTCGACAGTGACATCTATATATTTTTGGAGCATTCATTCGGAGAGCTGCAATACCGCCATCCCGATTTCCCGCAGCCATCAGGGGGTGACCTTGCGAAGCTGGCGAGCCGAGCTGGCAGACGTTTCATCGTGGCGTCTACAATGATGAAGTTTATTGTCGACGATGGATACAAGGATCCCGGCGATCGGTTACAGCTGATGCTCGGAATTGACGAGCGAGCTGCTAGCGGGAACGGAGGTGTACAAGTTATACGACCGTATCCTCTCCACATGTGCCAATCCCAAGCGGGCATACCTGCACTTGTCCGTTGTCGCTGCACTTGCAGATCCTCTGCCGCTATCACAAATCTCGAAACTTCTTGGCCCTGGTCAGGGCTGTGATGCCGAGGCAACGCTAGTGCAGCTACGGTCTGTCATGGATATTCCTACCGACACCAGTCTCCCCGTGAATGTATATCACTCGTCCATTCGTGACTATGTCTCCGACCCCTCAAACTGCAGCCTCCCTGAAGTGCACGATATGCCATCACCCCATTCACTGCTCGCTGATTCCTCTCTTCGCTTGATGATGAAAGAGATTCCTGAAAGCACAGACCTCTTGGATGCGCTCTTAGAACTGAAGAAGGAGAGCCAAGCCATGCAACCTGAGGACCCCAAAAAATTAAAAGACTCATTGGCGTTCCTTGTTCAGACACTGGAGCCGCTATCAGTCCTTATCGGTATACTATGGCTTCGGGGAGATCGCGCTTCAGATTTACAATTTTGGCTGGGGACCGAGGATGGGAGTGCCTGGCTGGGGACCGAGGACGGGAGTATTTGGTTGGGGACCACAGGCGGGAGTGCCTGGCTGGGGACTAAGGGCGGGAGTGCTTGGTTGTGTACCCTGGGAGGAGAAAAGTGGCGAGAGGCCCAGGGAGGACGACACTGGTTGCGGACCGAGGCAGGATTAAACTGGGAGCTGCAGAGTGCGTCAGACTCGTCATGCCGGTCATACTGATCAAAGACTCAGGAAGTGCTAGATGACCAGCCGCAGACCGAGAGAGGACGAAACTGGGTGCAAACCCAACGAGCACGACACTGGCTGCGGACCCAGCGAGGACGAGACTGGCTGCAGACCCAGCGAGCACAAGACTGGCTGCAGACCCAGGGAGGACGAGACTGGCTGCAGTCCCAAGGAGGACGAGACTGGCTGCAGACCCAGGGAGGACGAGACTGGCTGCAGACCCAGGGAGGACGAGACTGGCTGCAGACCAGGGGAGGACGAGATTGGCTGCGGACTTACTTAGGACAAGACTGGCTGCAGACCCAGGGAGGACGAGACTGGCTGCAGACCCAGGGAGGACGAGACTGGCTGCAGACCCAGGGAGGGCGAGACTGGCTGCAGACCCAGGAAGGGCGAGGCTGTGTGCAGACCCAGCGAGCACGACACCGGCTGCAGACACAGGAAGGACGAGACTGGCTGCAGACCCAGGGAGGACGAGACTGTGTGCAGACCCAGCGAGCACGACACCGGCTGCAGACACAGGAAGGACGAGACTGGCTGCAGACCCAGGGAGGACGAGACTGGCTGCAGACCCAGCGAGCACAAGACTGGCTGCAGACCCAGGGAGGACGAGACTGGCTGCAGACCCAGCGAGCACATAACTGGCTGCAGACCCAGCGAGCACGAGACTGGCTGCAGGCCCAGGGAGGACGAGACTGGCTGCAAACACAGGGGGCACACAGCTGGCTGCAGACCCAGGGAGGACGAGACTGGCTGCAGGCCCAGGGAGGACGAGACTGGCTGCAGACCCGGGGAGGACGAGACTGGCTGCAGACCCGGGGAGGACGAGACTGGCTGCGGACTTACTTAGGACGAGACTGGCTGCAGACCCAGGGAGGACGAGAATGGCTGCAGACCCGGGGAGGACGAGACTGGCTGCAGACCCTGGGAGGACGAGACTGGCTGCAGACCCAGGGAGGACGAGACTGGCTGCAAATCCAGAGAGGACGAGACTGGTTGCAGACCCAGGGAGGGCGAGACTGGCTGCAGACGTGGGGAGGACAAAATTGGCTGCAGACCCAGGGAGGACGAGACTGGCTGCAGACCCAGGGAGGACGAGGCTGGCTGCAGACGCCCCATGGCCAAGCGTGGCAATCCACTCCCCGCGGCGTCTTTCTGGGTAACTATGGAAGAATTCTCGAGCACGTTGGAAGCAATCAGCGAGTATACCATCGTTCCAGAATTGTCTTTACCGCTAGCCTTCCAAGTTATTCAGCAGTTCAAAACCTTGCCGGATTTCTTAATGCTGCCGGCGTTGATGGCGTTAAACCACCAGCATCGTTCTGTCTCTGCATTATCAACATATAGTCAGCTAAACAGGGAGATCATCCATTCTATGAATGCCTTCACGACTTTCACACACAAAGCGCAGCAAAAAAGTCGATTTTCTTCCGACGCTCTCAAATACGCCTGTCAAAACTGGACTATCCATCTCTCATGTACTCCAAATCCACGGGATGGCACGCTTAACCGTAGATTCCATACTTTCTGGAATCGTCACCTCCTTTCCTGGCTCGAATGGCAGTGGTGTTTGAAGGGTCTGCGGTCTTGTCTTGATATCTTATCCGAAGGGCAGAAACTTGCAAAGGTGTGCATTTTTCTAATATTTTTCAATTCACCACCCAAATATCTGACCGCATGCTGCAGGTATTGCCTTGTTCTAGGTTCGGTTTTTATTTTCCACTTTATGAAGCCCCTTGTAATTCTCTCTCATCCTCAGTGTAACCCGTCAACATGCAGCCTAATGAAGGGCGGCAAACGAAAGCTTTGGCACCCGTGTTCGTCTACCAAGAGTTCTCCCCAGCTTCTTGAGTGTTGATACATTCTAAATACCTGTTCACTTGTTCCACGATAGCATAACTATACTTAGTCTGACGA